GTCGATGAAGGCGATGAATAGTGGTGATCGCCATTCTACTGATTGCTCGATAATTATACGAAGGGTATTGATATGATCGATGCATGAGCGATTCGGCCGAAAACCTGCTTGGTTCGGGCGCAGGGTGTTTTCTATAGTTTCCGCTAATCTTGTTTGGACGATTTTCGCGATAATCTTATTAATTGTGTTTAATAGCGTTATGCCACGCCAGTTGTTACACTCGGTCAAGTTACCTTTTTTGGGAAGCTTGATGATTAGCCCTTCTTTCCACTTGGTCGGAATCTTGTTGTTGTTCCATGCTTCCTTAATACAGTGGTATAGTTCATTTGCCATCCATGTGGCGTTTACTTTTAGTAGTTCCGCTGGAACGTTATCAGCTCCTGCTGCTTTGTTGTTCTTAAGCGTCTTTATAGCTGCAGTTATCTCCGCGACTGAAGGCGGGTTCGAGTCAATGTTCAGTTGTCTACCTGGGTTATTCTCTGGCTCCCAGTTAATTGTTTCGTTTGCGCTGAGCATGTCGGAGAAATGTTCCCTCCATCTTTCGAGCTGCTTGTCTGACTCAACTAACAGGCGGCCGTTTTTTGACTTAATGAAGTGTGTGCGTGTAGAGTACTTATTGGCCAGTTTCTTTGTGAGGTTGTAAAGTTCTCTCGAGTTGTTGTTGAGCATTGCTTCTTCTGCTTGTCTGCAAATATCATCTATCCACCTGCGTTTGTCTCTTCTGGCTTCCCTTTTGACCTTTTGGCAAAGGCCTGTGTACTCTACCTGTGCCGCTGCCCTATATTCTTGCGAAAGATTTTGGAGTAGCAGGTGTTTTTTCCTCTTTCGGTCTTCTATCAGCAACCACGTGTTTTCGCTGATCCATTCTTTCCTTTGCCTGCTTTTCACTCCAATTGTTGTTTTGGCGACTTCAATGATGTTGTCGGCCATATTTTCCCATTTTGTGCTGATTTTTGGTTTATTGTCTCTTGCATTTTTCCTTGAAGGATTTTGCTATTTGTGGAATGCGTAGCTTCTCTATATTTAGTTTTATTCGTTTCATATCGGCTGGTTGCTTGGGTACTGCTAGTTTTATTCTCAATGTGCCAACTATTAGGTGGTGGTCACTGGCTACATCAGCACCTCTCTTGTTCCTCACATCGAGTAATGACGATCTCCATTTCCTAGAGATTGTGATATGATCGATTTGGTTGTGGGTTTTTGTCTGGCGAGACCCACGTTGTCTTGTGAATCTGTTTGTGGGGAACAGCGTACCCTATTACCAGGTTCGCGTTGGAGCAGAACTGTGTGAAGTATGTGCCGTTTTCGTTAATCTGCCCAACGCCGTTTTTTCCCATAATTTCTTCCAAATTCTCGTTTTGAGCGCCTACTTTCGCATTAAGGTCGCCCATGAGAATTTTTATGTCACCGCTGTTTACGTCTTTTATAGTTTTCTCGAGGATGTCATAGAATTCATCTTTATCCTCTTTAGAAGCGTTATTGGTTGGGGCGTAACATTGGATAAAAGTTACTTTTCTGAACCTGGTGTAGAATCTTGCTGTTATTACTCTTTCGTTTATTGGTGTCCATGAGATTAGACTCTTTTTAGCATGTTTACTGAGTAGAAATCCTACACCGCTTTCGTGTTTTCCAGATTCATTACCACTAAAAAGTAGTCGTTCTCCACCTTGTGTGGGATGTTCTCCTTTCCCCAACCAACGTACTTCTGATATACCTAAAATATGTAGATTATATTTGAGAAATTCCTTAGTTACCTGCTGCAATTTGGAGCTCTCGTATAACGTTTGCACGTTCCAGCAGCCGAAACGTATCTTGTGTTTAGTATTAGCCAGGGTCGTCCTCGTATTATCCGTCCGGGTTTGCTTAGTTGAAGTTTCAGTAATAGGTTTGATTTAGGGTGAGTAGGTTATTAGCCTTCTGCACCCGAGTTTGGTGCTGGGGCTGCCAGCTGGAGCGTCCAAACCCGCCTCAGTGTACCTGGATGTTTGACGATGTTGTTGATGTCCCGCACTTGACGTGGTGAAAGTGAGGTTATACCGCCTCATATTCGGTCGCCAGAGCCTCGTTTGTCGAAATCAGGGCGCACCACGTGAAGGGGAGGTTGGCAGTTGGCACCCACGGCCCTTGCGCCCCAATTATTATTATATTACTATAACTATATATTATTACTATAACTATTATTAAATCTCCATATCAATTTTCATGCCTTATTATTCAGCTTTCAAATTACTTTATGGGGACAGAAAGTACCCTATTTGCTTTTCCTTGACTTTAAATATTTTTATACCAAAATTTATCAAAATTGATGTAGTAGTTATTATGTGAAGGAGTAACAAATAAACAAACATACACAACCTCACATTTACCATTATACAATTACTTTAAATACCTATACCTAAAAAAGAAAAATCAATATTTTTCAATCTTTTAGTATCCGTAAAATCACCATTTCAATATTCAGGCTTTACCTCAGTAACCCCCATAAAAGACATTTTTGTAGCGTAAAACACGAAAAAATGTCCGTAAGCCGTAATAACTTGGCGATGGCTTGCCTATAACCACCAATAAAGCCCTGAAAGCATCGAATATGTTTGCACACGCTTTGCAAGCCCTCATAAACGCTCCGAAACAGATCAGATACGTTTGCCGGTTTCGAGTTAGAGAGTTTTTGGCCCCGCATCGACTGGTGTGACACACTTTTGCGACCGTATCAATTCGGGCTAATCTTCCTGTTCCATTCGGGACGCAGCGAAAAAAAAACACAACATGGTCGTATCACTGCACGCGCATTGCACTACACGCTTGTTTGGACTTTCAGTACATTTCACACGATACTATACTATGTATGAACAAACTATGAGCATATACGCTCGTCACAAATTAATTGAAAATAGTGCATTGGATGATTTTTTTTCCAGCGTTATCAACAAATGTGCGTTTGAGTAAAAAAAAAAAACTAAAACAAAATTCAGTTTGACATTTAAAAAAATTGTGTGATGTATTAAAATGCAAATGCATGTTGGTTGTTGTTGCAGTTTTTGTTGTTGCGTGCAATATTTTACGTCAGCAATTATTCCAATCATTTTCAGAGAAATAAATTGCTGCATCTGCAAGGGTTTTGTTTCCAATTGCTGCAGTAATTGTGTCATTTGATATTTTTCAACCGAATTCATTCTGTAATTATTTAAACTTTAAAGAAAAATTTATCGTAAAGTAACATTTTTATTTTTATTTCACCCTGAAGACATTTATTGATGAAATTTATTACTTCCGGATGATTTATATCTAATTAATCCGTTCTCTCTCCTGAGAATAACCGATAAAATTCTGCGTGGGCAAAGCACGTTTATTTAGAGAATTTCAATATTTTCTAACTAAACAATTTTTATTTTCGTTACATGCAGATACGTTATTTTGCGTGTGGGCGCATAGAGAAAGGAAGCCGAATGTAAATCATCTTAATCCTCTTTTATGAGCCAATTGCTGTTGCTCTCCTCTTCATCCCTATTATGCTGCGTTTTTTGTTTTCGAAATTTCATTTCCTCTCCCGGGTGCCATCCTCCTGCCATTCCGGCTTTATCCGCCTAGAGAATTACATTGTTCAAATTGCGTTGCTCTTTAAAATATGAGAATATAACAAGAATTATATTTTGTATTTTCTTACAATATTTGCGATAAACTAAACGTGCGCTGCACGTTAATTCTTAAATAACGCATCAAAAGTTGCCTAAAATTTGAGCATAGTATTTTATTTGTGTAAATAACAATCTCAATCAATTATGTTAACATATTTGCAGTTTTTCTGCGCATTGTTTGCCTTTACGCCTCCACCATTATTGTATTTTTATACTTTCATCCATCTTTGAGGCCAGTAAGCTTTGATCATTCCCGTTTGATGGCATGGTCCGCCGCTGTATGAACTCTCCGACTTGCTACTCGCTTGTAAACTAATAACAGCGAATGAAATAAACCTCTTTGCTTCTTGACTCTCTCGCGTTGTTATCGAATCCTGGCGCGCGCGTGTACGTTCTGTTTACCAAGCGAAACGAGATCGGGCGCTGCGTTGATAAAAGCTCTCATGCAATAGATGGCCAATTGCATCATAAAACATGAAGCATTGAACATGTCGATTTGACAAATAACAAATAACAAATAATATTTATTACATCGTCTGATGAAATTTTCTTTTTCTTCTCTTTTCTTTTCAAACACTGTTACAGTGTAAATACCTATAATTAAATTTCAAGTACAGTTTGTACATTTACATGCAATAAAATTTTATGTGCGGTTAATCTTGAAACTATAAAACTTGGCAAAGGTGCAAGGCGCCCGGCGCCTCCACCATCTTTCACTTTGAGGCAATTTTATCGTCCGCAACCAATTACACACGTTGAACCTGAACCTGACTTAGGGCACTAAAAAATAACAATGTAACATTAAATTGTTATGTGGCGCGAGATTTGGTGGATTTGTTCACGTTTGGGAATTGGAAGAATCAATAATAAATTTGCGCCTATAAGGTTGAAGCGAGCCAGGCATTTATCAAAGCCTCGGTAATCGAAGCTACCACACGACACCACGCCGCAAAACGCTCGAGGTCTTGAGGTAAAGCGTCGCTTCGAATTTCCTTCCATTTCACAGACGGCGAACAGTGAAGAACACTTAATCACTTATCTGTCTGTACAACAGTATCATCTAGCATGAAATTTACACCGTAAAATTATAAAAAAAAAAACGTAAAAATATTTAGGTTGCGAGTTAACTTTAGACTCGACATATTTGTCGCGGATTACACATCATATAAATGCGATATTTATAATGTGACACGATGACACTGGTTCATAAATAAAATCTTTCGCAAATGGGCTATATTTATGCGTTTGAATTGGAATTATTCCAAGCGCGTTTGTTTTTCGTGCGATTTTTGAAGGTTTTAATCTCGATTCAGCTGTCGTACTGCGTGAAATATTAACAGGTTTTTTTCTCTTCTATTTTTGCAGATGAATGCAAAGCATGCAACGTTGCGACTCTATCGAGAATAAACACTTCTGAAAGGCGGTTTTGAGGAAGGGTCGGCGGACGTAATGGATCCCGACATCATTAACGTCAGCAGCACGCCGGCAGTCGTCTACACTCTGACCGCAACCAACTCCACACTACCGCTGGATGGCGCTGCTGATGTGGAGCAAGAATGGTCCGATTTTCTACTGCTGTTCATCCGCGCTGTACTCATGGGTTGCATCATCATCGCCGCCATCTTCGGCAACCTGCTTGTCATTGTCTCAGTCATGCGTCACAGAAAACTACGAGTCATTACGAATTACTTCGTGGTGTCACTAGCGTTGGCTGACATGTTAGTCGCCATGTTTGCAATGACCTTCAACGCAAGCGTGCAGATCTTCGACCGGTGGTTGTTTGGGTATTTCATGTGTGATGTGTGGAACTCATTGGATGTCTACTTCTCAACTGCTTCCATTCTTCATCTGTGTTGTATCTCCGTCGATCGATACTATGCAATCGTGCGACCTTTAAAGTACCCTATCAGTATGACCAAGCGGGTGGTAGCCATCATGTTGTTGAATACATGGATCAGCCCGGCGATAATCAGTTTTGTTCCCATATTCATGGGCTGGTATACAACGGACGAAAATCAAGACTTCCGACATCGTAATCCCGACGTATGCGAGTTTCGTGTCAACAAACTCTACGCAGTATTCAGTAGTAGTATCTCCTTCTGGATACCATGCACGATTATGATCTTCACCTACTTTGCCATCTTCAGGGAAGCCAATCGCCAGGAGAAGGAAATGTTCAATCGCCATGGAGCAGCACGTCTTCTACATCAGAACAACACCAATGGAGATATGCTGTCCAATTCAGGCGGATCATCCAAAACCCTCGTGCATGAGATCAATCAAGACCTGCATCATACTCCGACCAAAGAAAGGAACATTATCAAGATGAAACGTGAACACAAAGCAGCACGTACCTTGGGTATCATCATGGGCACCTTCATCCTCTGCTGGTTACCATTCTTTTTATGGTACATCAGCACATCACTGTGCAGTTCTTGCTACTGTCCTGATATTGTGGTGACCATTGTATTCTGGATCGGATACTTCAACTCCACACTCAATCCACTCATCTACGCGTACTTCAATCGCGAGTTTCGTGAAGCCTTCAAAAACACGCTGCAGTGCGCATTTTGCAGTCTGTGTCGACGTCCCCCTTCGGATCTGGACTCTTATGATGTTCGGCGACCTTCGATACGTTACGACGATCGGACCCGAAGCATCTATTCGGAGACTTATATGAAACACGTTGATCGACGTAGAAGCTCCGAGTACGGGTCAAGTCTCTGAGTAGACCTAACTAGTAGCAGACTTACAACAACCAGCTTTTAGTCTGTGTGTTTGTCTGCTACTAGTTACCGAATTACTGAACAATTAACAAAATATTAATACGGCTCTAAACGTGGAACTAAACCAAAGATGAGAGAATAAATAACAAAAATGGTGCTACTTTTTTTTACTGCTACGTATATATTACCTAAAAATAAACAAAAAAGAAACAAAAAGTGTGTTTGTGTTCTGAACGTTTAGAAATTGAATGTTAAATGTGTTATAAATGTGATTATGATTAAATGTACGACAAGTAAATGTATAAATTATTTCAAACCAACTGCGTAGTATTTAAATATTTAAATATTGTAAATAGCTTGTAATATACATAAAGAAAAATGCAGCTTATTTTATTTTTTTGTTATTTTTTTAATTGTTTTTATTCGCCGACAAAAAAATTGTGTGATATATTATGTTACTAAAGTGAATTAATTTATTCTTGAATAAACAAAACGAATGTAAACTGTACCAGTTTGACGGGAAAAGCGCGCCGATCGATCGATCAAAATTAGATAACGTTGGTTTGTGGATGTATCGACAAGGATTGCGAGAATGGACGCGGGAACAGGAAATTAAAATAAACAATGTGTGCGTGGATGATATTCTCGATTTGATATTCGAATAAAATTCAACATAAAACTCAAATAAAGTAAAAAACCAAAAATAACCACAATTAGTAAAAAAAAGATAAAATTTAGTCATAAATGTACGACTTTATTGTAAAAGGCAAATAGTTTTGCTCCGTGATGCAAAGTAGGTTAAAATATAATCAATTTATGATGTATAAGTAGCGAGATACAATCATCACTAATAATATTAGATGGTTAAGTAACTTACGTAATAAACTAGGATGAAACACAAATAATTCTAATTATAAACAATTTAAACGTTTAAAAATAAACATTTTTGCGTTCTCTGCACTTGTACTGCAACTCAAACACTTGAACTTTTTATGTTTTTCAAATGCATATGCAAATTTTTTGTTTTAAATTTTTTTTTCATAAAATTTATTGTAAATAATGTAAATATCCATTCTTACATTCTCTATATGTAAAGTGTAATGTTTTGTTTTTTAGATGGAATAAAAATAAATTCGCTCGGGAAACCATCCGCAATATGAATAATTACGACCTAATTTAAATTGCATTGTATTACGTTCGGATGGTTTGCCTTCAAAATAAAATACAGGTTATGAAATACATCGAATCATTACAGAAATTTTTAGATGTTGGAAACTGTGAACATGATTAAGCTCTCGATGGAAACCAAGCGCACAGGAAATGAATAGTTCTTATACGATGTAAATGAACTAAAAACTAATTAAATTAATTGATTGATTTTATGTAAATTAACGAGAAGTGAAGATAGATTGGTATGTAGTCTTCCTGTTTTTGATAAGTGAACAAATTTATGAATAAATTACATGACATTATCAGGACGCAGAAAATTACATATTTTTTGTTGTTTTTGTTATAAATTAATTAGTTAAATGAAAAATTGAACAATTGCGTCTAATGAAAACCATATACGGCAAATAAATAAAATATATTTGATGTATGAATGTTTTCATGTAAATTGTAAACTTGTTTTATTTGCTACCACAAAAATATTGCAATCCTGAAAAATGTTCCTGAATTTTAAAAATGGCGCTGTGTTTTTGATAATTTTCCAAGCGCCGCTAATGAAATTTCATCCTCATCCACTTCAGCCGCTGGAAAAACTTTGATGAGAATAATGGCCGCATAGAAAGGACTCTCGAAGGCACTTGTAGACTTGGCTGGGTCTTGAAACCAAAGGCGATGCGCGTTGATTTTTAGCGCAATAATGGAAAAACGGTGGAAAATTCGAACGCGCAAGGAGAAGGTAAGTGTGTACATTAGATGCAAGCCGAGAGGAGAGAAAATGAACTAATTATTCAAATTACGCTCGAGGTTCTCATGAAATTAAATGAGTCGCCGAAGAATGCAAATGCGACGCGTTTTTCTTTTCGCATCGTTAGTAAGACTTTTCATCTTTTACCGTTGAAAAAATATAGTTTATGCAACAAACACTAAAATCTGATAAAAATATTTTAAAATAAAATTTAACCTAAAAAATGTACGTTTTATTTAAAGAAATTTAAATTACAAAGTATGTTATTTAATTTTGTGATTAAAGTCTAGGGAAAATAGTAGAAAAAGTATTTTTAAATTAAAATATTTTAGAACATGACTCCATGATTAGTTAAGGTAATCAGTTTTCACAAAAAACTAATCAAGGCAGATTTGCATCCCCGAGTGGCGGTATTAAGGGTGACGAAATTATTTTGCGAAATTGGAAAATCGTGTCGTGCAATGATGTTGAAAACGGGCTTCACGGTAATGTTAGCAAAGGTAGCGGCGTGTTTGACCTCATTTTACAATCTCTGCATGTTTCTGAACCAACGATTTTATACCCACGTAAAATACCATCAAATTATTTTAAACGTTAAATAATTATTTTATTGTTTAATAAAATTCTCACAAAAAGAAAGAAAAAAAACGTAACAAAAATGTCGTGTTTTTAAAATTAGAAACTTTTTGAGAAAGTTTGACGTTAATGTGTTATGGATGCGAGAGATAATACGATGCGATGGTGGAGGCGCCGGGCAAAAATTAATTTTTTGCTCACGTCGTCATAAATCAATATGCGTCAACAGAACATACTCATACACGTGCCCAGCACACAATTCCATACAGATTTGCGTTTATTTTCAGATAAGAAAAACGCGTGTGTGAGCATAAAACAAAATCAATTTTTTTTTTCGGGGGGAAAAAATAAGTAACATCAGTAAACGGTGTGGGAGATGAAATGAGGGTGGAAACTGCGCTTTACGTCGGGTGTAATTTATTCATGAAATTTGATCCGGCTTTGCTTGTCTTTTGTTTCAGTTCTTGGGCGGCAGTCTAGCGTGCGGAATCCGATTTGGGTGCGCCATCCGCTTTGCCCAAAACGCTATATCGCCATCCGGAATTGTGCATTCTTGCAAAATATCCAAATGAAGCAAAGCGGAAAACTTGACGAAGAAAAAATGTTCAACACATTTAGTTAAAAAGTTTTGCTCGGTGATATATGCAACCAAATGTGCATTGAGAGTATTACAAGTTGTATAGCCGCGCAATTTGATCCTTATTTAATGCTGTTTAGTAAGTGTTAAGTTTTAGATTAAACTAGATCCAACTTTATTAAATAATAATAAATCAGCTAAGCTCCAGAAGAGCATCTGCGACATGGCGTAAAATCTGCAAAGCAAAATTTCCGCGAATCCCAAATCTGAAACATAAACAACGCAAAATTACCAAATTACGCCCGAGTTAAATTGCCATAAATTCACCGGGCGCGCGAGAGACAAAGAAACAAGTTTTGGCGTGAGTTGGAATTTTCACCCGTCGTTCTTCGCCCGCAATAATTGGTGCATAAACTTGGACAATTAACCGTGCGGGAGAAAGACGCAAATATATTGCCTTCCGTTTTCCTGTTTTCCTGTTTACTTGTTTTCGTTTTCACTTCTCACGTTTCGCTAACGCGTGTACCACGCGTATTTACGTTGATCTGTATACACTTACTTCTTTTTCGTGGCGGTTTTTTTTAGTGAAAAAGAGAAAAAGTGTTTTTCTACACTAACAACGCTTAAGCGAGCGTGCAGAAGAGTGTGCAGGCACGTGGAACAACAAGCGATATCATAAATTGTACCCGGTTTCTACTCGGCAGAAAAAAATAATAAAAATGTGTAGTAGAAGTTACTAAATGATGAAATAAAATAAAAAAACGTATTTTTAGATTCATTGGGTGTCGACATAAAACAAGCAAAATGATGTCATTTGCCGTCATTCCTTTTCATTCGTTTCGGTCGGTATCTGCTTTTGTCTGGGCTAGGAATCCAGGTTTGTTTTCAATGGCACCAATAGTCCGTTCGCCCGGGAACATCGTTCCTTTCAAGTCCTATCGAGCTCTTTCAAGGATCCCATCCAGGGTATTTCTCAAAAGTCATTGTCAATGCCTGTGTTGTATTCCAAGAGTCTAATTCCACTAAAATACGCACTACTGAAACCAACATTATCTAAAAATATAAACATAAATTATTCTATTTATTTAAATATTATATTTACGTAATATTTTTCTATTTAAAATTATTTTTATACATTTTTACTTTTAATTCTTGTAAAAAAAACATTTTCCAGTGCATTTCATCAAGTTTCATTGTTTTTCATATTCTGTTAACAATTGCAACGATTGTTAATTGCGTTTTTTGTGCTTTTATTCATATAGAGAAACAATATTATGCAACTAGAATCAATACAATCCAATATGCCGTAAATTAAAACTCGTTGATTAAACACACCGCATGTAGCGCTATTTGATGATCTCTGCGTAATGCTGAGTGGGCTCTGTCGCGTCATCAATATTACAGCGCGGTGTGTGCTGCGATGGCGGATGCGCCGGGCTTTGCGCGGTTTTATCTATCAGTAGGCCGTGGCGGGCTTTGTCGGGCGGCGCTTTTGTGCTTTTGCATTGCGCACCGTCTCTGCAATTGACAGCGCGACGCCCAAAGAAGTGATGACGGCTTGTGCAAATGCTGAATGCGACTGCAAACGTGAAATAATTCAACTTTTTAAATTTTATTAAGTGTTGTACATTTTTACGCTTGCATAAAATTAAAATCATTAAAAATTATTTTTTTGTGAACAAAATTTTATTTTGTTATTTTTTTAAAATCTATAATATAAAAATGAATTGTAAAATATGTTGGTATGCGCATAACTCCACAACGCTTAGACCAATTTGGCCAATTCTTTTTTTAAAATGTTTGTTAAAGTCCAAGGATGGTTTTTACGGTGAGAAAAATTTGAATAATTGCCGGGAAAACCCTAAAGACTGCTCTTTTCTATAGGATAAAAGTTGGCATTGAGATTCCATAGTTATAGTTAAATAGTTCTGTAAAATAAAATTGCGAATCTTATTTATAGAATTGACACATACTATGTCTAGAACAAGAGAGTCAAAACAAATTACATTTTTATTAAACACTACCGGGACGAAGTCGCAGGCTAGATTAAAATAATAATTTGTTACTGTTGGTTTAATAATTGTCATTTTATCGAATTGCCTGCTGACCTCATAGCATTTGTACCTACAATTTGCTCAAATATGCGACAATTATTGTTAATGTATAATGTGTGCGCGTAACAATGTCAGCGGCGGAAAATTGCGTCCGTAACGCATAGCAAACAATAATTAGAAGTAGATTATTAACTGTGCGCTTATAATTTGTCCGTCCGACGCGGACGGGCTATTTGTCAGAATGATGCATCGACCGCGTGCGCAGTTTTCGGGTCGAGCGCACCGAGAGAGCTTTCGGATTGACTGGGAGTACAGGGATTGCGCGCCGGGAACGGGTACGTCGCGCGCAAAGAGCGCATTCTGGTTGTCAAAATGCGCCGAACTCGCCCGGAAACCTGTCACTTGCACGGTGTTGTATAAATCATCGCATTTGTGAATTGAAACTTGCGTTGAAAAAACAAATGTTTCCTATAAATCAATTAAATCCGAAAAATACAATTTATTGACTTGCGGTATAAGTTCCGAGCGCCGCATAACCATAAAACACTTACTAAACTTACTTGTTTTCTTCCTGGTTGCTTGTTATAAGTATTTACTTCTTATTATTACTTTACAACAATGCGATAGTTGGTAAAAGAAGAAACTTTTAATTGGTTATTCTATTATTTCTTTTGCCTGTTACTAAACTTCTTGCTGCAGTAACTTTATCTATATCTATACGATTTAACAGAATGTCCCATTGTGTGAAGTTTAATTGTTTGTTTTAGTTTTCTTGCTAAGTACAGATTGGCAATTATTGTTGGAAGAAGTAAAACCTATTTAAAAACACTTTTATTTTCAGCTTATTTTCAGTTTTCTAAGTAATAGAGTCTATATTGCATTCTTGCTTACGTTTATCTTTAGTCAAGATCGCCAAGGGCACGGCCACGACGCCGACGACGACGACAATCGGCACAACGGGGTGAAGTTTTAAGGTTCAGGGTGAAAGCTTGCAAAACCTCGTCGGGGCTTCGCCGCCGCTAATCGTTTCGTTCCACGGCGCGTAACACAACAAGCTACAACAACGTGTAATTACGCAACTCCCATAACACGACATTTTCTAATTATCCGTAATACTTTCCTTGTGGCGTAATTGACTTACATCGCTGGTACAAGTCGTGTGTTGCTTGTGCGGTGTGGAGTTACATCGCCTGAAATTAAATCCGATCTAATCGCAAAACGTTTTGATACAAAAGAGAAATATTATAAAAATAAATACACGTTAAAAGTTCATTTGTTATGTTCTTGGGTTTATTATGTTTAATTTGGTGAGTGAATGAGAATCTTGAAAAGGGTACATCTTTTGGTGGGAGTAGTAAAACAGGTTTTGTTAAGGGAAACTTGCGACACCTGCGAGGGAAAATCAGCACTCCTGCCTGCTATTCTAACAACTGCTGCAGTTTTCCAAGTGAACAACGTGATCATATGGCTAAACTACGCCACTATATTGCAACCGTTGCGACTAAACTTCTCTGTAAATATACGCTCTCTGCAAATAGCGACAACATTGAGTCGTTTTCTGCAACACGGAGTTGAAGGGGGCAGGTACTAATTTTCGTTCTCTTTTTTGTTTTAGCAATCGCTTTCGAGTTCCTATCGCAGTCATGAGCTAAATTGGAATGCGAATTTGATTCGCTTCGTCGATCGACTTCCGATTTTAAATAAAATAAACAATGACACCCTTGTTGAAATGTTGTAACGCATAAAATACTGGTAAGGTGTCATTACTTGCTTCTTTTATACACTCGTGTTCGTAATACGTACATCTTTTTAATCTCTTCGCATTAATGCATTTCGAACGGGGCGGCGCACAAACTTTAGCGGGGCATCTAGAAATGTAAAATTAAATTCTCCGTCGTGTTGTATTTGTTAGCGGTAGAAGTGACTCGTGTTTAGGGCACCGTATGAATGTAACGGTGGATGTAACCGGATAGAGGTAGTTTCCGACGGAAAATAATATGAATTTATATATATTTAGACCATTTTTATTAACTAAAATAATATAGGTATTTAATTTCAAGAGTAAACTACCAAAGAAGTAAAATTTGAATGTTATTATGCTTTTTTGTAGTTTTTGAAGAGATTTGATGCAATTCTCAGTAAATATGTGATTTTATGACGAATATATACTTTCATTGACCATTTATGTAGTGTATTATGTTTATTTATTGCTAAATTAATGAATATTTGCATTAAAATTGCAAAATTTAGTTCATTAATTTTGAATTAATACATTCTAGCGACATCTACATTGGAAGCTTTGAGTTATGTATATAAATTGCTATTCGTTTAGATAGGGTGGTGCATGCGCAGTTGCGTGTACGTGTGACACACGGGCACTGCCATTTAAGTGCGTGACCATACACTGACACATAGCCAATCACTCACTGCCTCATATACACGCCACACTTTTTGATGCACTTTGTATTTTCTTGAGGTACTCAAAAGTCACCTCAGATGGCGCACCAATACATGTTTTCGCTGAAAATATTCCTGCGAGTGAAAGTCGAGATCCCCAGTTGTGGTGTAGCCGGCACGGAACTCTTACTTCGTTCGATAAGTACTAATACTTAAATGCATATTCGTGATTCGTGTTGTAAATTCGTTATATCGCGTTATATTTGCTGGAATTTAGTGTTACTAGACGGGTTTTAGTCGCTACATATTTATCGCGTGTGTAATCTTCGGAATTCAATGTTTTGTGGGTTTATTGCAGTTTCGCGTGTATCTAGGATCGCTTACCGTCGGACGCCAGTCAGCCATGTTGTGTGATGGTAAATAATATTTTGAAGTTGTGCGAACCATATTTGTCTTCAGCAGAACACGACGGGCTTATTATTATTTAAATAATTATGGCAAATTAGACAATTTTTAAAGAAAAATTTGGGTTCCTCCGGAATTCGGATTCATTTCAACATTGTCCGAAATTGTAGAACTAATGTTTTGTTTCTTGTTTATTTCAGTATCAACTCGCATTTGATTTACGGTGTTCGATACACTGGTGAGTGAAATTTTTTATCGTTTATAGTATCTATTTTTCGATTTTATCTTAAACTTCTTTTGCGGAAAGTTCGAGCAAGCATTCCGCAGAAAATTGGAAAATGGAAATTCAAACCTATTTATTACGGATGTTACCTAGTTATTACGTTTAATGGAAAAAACGTCGCTCTGAACACTTTATCATAGTAAAATTTTACTCTTGGACTAATAGTTTTCCCGCAATTTGATGAAATGTAAACACATTTTCCACAGAAAAATTAAATTTGGAAATTTAAAGTTTTTATTTCGGAAGTTGTTACAAACTGTCTCCCTGAGAAGTTTATTTTAATAAAATTTTACTCTAGAACTAATAGTTTTCCCGCAATTTGAAGAAATGTAAACACATTTTCCACAGAAAAATTAAATTTGGAAATTTAAAGTTTTTATTTCGGAAGTTGTTACAGACGGTCTTCCTGAGCATTTTATTTTAATAAAATGTTACTCTTGGACTAATAGTTTTCCCGCAATTTGATGAAATGTAAACACATTTTCCACACAAAAAATAAATTTGTAAATTTAAAGTTTTTATTTTGGAAGTTATTACAAACTGTCTCCCTGAGAATTTTATTTTAATAAAATTTTACTCTAGGACTAATAGTTTTCCCGCAATTTGAGGAAATGTAAACACATTTTCCACAGAAAAATTAATTTTGGAAATTTAAAGTTTTTATTTCGGAAGTTGTTGCAGACGGTGTTCCTGAGCATTTTAATTTTATAAAATTTTACTCTTGGACTAATAGTTTTCCCGCAATTTGATGAAATGTAAACACATTTTCCACAGAAAAATTAAATTTGGAAATTTAAAGTTTTTATTTCGGAAGTTGTTGCAGACAGTGTTCCTGAGCATTTTATTTTTATAAAATTTTACTCTACGACTAATAGTTTTCCCGCAAATTGATGAAATTTAAACACATTTTCCACACAAAAAATAAATTTGTAAATTTAAAGTTTTTATTTCGGAAGTTATTACAAACTGTCTTCCTGAGAATTTTATTTCAATAAAATTTTACTCTAGGACCAATAGTTTTCCCGCAATTTGATGAAATGTAAACACATTTTCCACACAAAAAATAAATTTGTAAATTTAAAGTTTTTATTTCAGAAGTTATTACAAACTGTCTCCCTGAGAATTTTATTTTAATAAAATTTTACTCTAGGACCAATAGTTTTCCCGCAATTTGATGAAATGTAAACACATTTTCCACACAAAAAATAAATTTGTAAATTTAAAGTTTTTATTTCGGAAGTTATTACAAACTGTCTCCCTGAGAATTTTATTTTAATAAAATTTTACTCTTGGACTAATAGTTTTCTCGCAATTTGTTTCATGATTTGAATTTTTTTGTTCTATTAATTTTATTAATCTAAATTCCGGGACTTCTTCTGTAGCATTCATAGATGGCACTTGGATGTACTAAAAATCATAAAATCGAGTTATACGACTTATTTTCATATTTATCGACAGCGTGGCCACGAGAATAATTTTGTATACAGTACTGTTATCAGTGATTCGATATAAACAACTTTTTATCGCATGTGTCGCGCGCGCCGTCTTCTCACGCCACATCAACTAGTTTAGTTTAGATCGCAGGTATCGTGTCTATTCCAAATTGCGTAGGTAGTCTTATCATGAATTGTTGCAACCTTGTTTGCTTTTCTGAAGCACATCTTGCAATATTTTAATACTTTGCCTTATAGAGAATTTTTCGTAGATTATTATTTTTCAATCCATACATCCTTACTACCGCTTTTAGTTTACGATATATTCGAAATTGAATGAATAGGGTGAAAAAAGAAAAATTGTACATTTTAACACTTTTAGTCACGTTTGTTTGTCCTTTTACCCCATGAAATCTTTCACCATGAGAAATTAGAATTACACAACTCGAATTTTAATTTTTGATTAGTTTTAAGAATTTTAATTGCGGGACTTCTATCTGTAGCATTCCGAGATGGCACTTGCCTGACCTAAAAATCATAAAATAGAATTGTATTCTTTATTTCTATATTTATCAGCAAACGTTGCATTCGATACGAGAATTGCGTTTGTTTTGAACACAACTTACACTTGTCACGTCTTAGTTTAGTTGTGATCGCAGGTAACATGCCAGTTGCAATTCACACACAAGGTCGTGTGTCATCGGCGGGCCGCTTTGCGCATATATTGCTTTTACCTGCGGGGTTCATGCTGCTGGCATTGCTTGCGCTATCGATGGATTGCAGCTAGTTTCGTGCAGGTCGCTGGCGTATCTGGACGTATTTCGCGCGACTAGTATCGTTTTATCGGATTATTTTATTTTCTAAATTTGCATTGTATTCGGTCATCAATTGACTATTTAGTTGTAACATGCTTCTGCAGTGCTTTGTTAATGGTTAATTGTGCGTTTAATATCCATAATTTTTATATGTTTGCGTTTGATGTTTATATCTCAAATGCATATTGTTGCCATGATGTTTCCCGTCATTAGGAGGTCCCCTCGAACTTGAGTAAGTAATTTATATCTGACTTGCGCAACTCAGCACAGAATGTTTGTTTTCTCCGATGAATGAATATAATATTATATTGTATGCAGTGTTTTTTTTTTAACTTGTTTTCTTTTAATTGCAGTACTTGCTGTGCCCTAGCAATCCAATGAGTACTGCATTGGTAAGTTTTTATTAAGTTATATTATTCGGCCAAATATTTTATGACCTGAGTGTTGCAATATTGTAATTTCGGGTATTATAGAAAACGAATGAAACAACAAAGTTTGTCCGTTTTTCGTCTTTTTCAAAACACACGGTGGAAAACAGGCCATATCTCGGGAACCCTTTGCCATATTTTAGTTTTTTTCTTTATTTTATGATAGGACAAGAGTGCATTTTAAAATGCACCCCTGAACCTTCGCGTAATTCGGTCGTAACAACCTCAAAATGGCCGCCAAAGTTACGCCTTGTCTTGTAATTTTCAAAACACGCGGTGGAAAACAAGCTATATCTCGGGAACCCTTTGTTATATTTTAGTTTTTTTCTTTATTTTATGATAGGACAAGAGTGTATTTTAAAATGCATCCCTGAACCTTCGCGTAATTTGGTCGTATCAGCCACAAAATAGCCGCCAAAGTTTGGCCTTGTCTTGTAATTTGCAAAACACGCGGTGGAAAACAAGCCATATCTCGGGAACCCTTTGTCATATTTTAGTTTTTTTATTTATTTTATGACAGGACAAGAGTGCGTTTATAGGGATGCATACCCCTGAAGCCCCGCGAAATTAGGTCGTAGCAGCTTCAAAATGGCAGCCAAAATTAGGCCTTTTCGTGCAATTTTCAAAACAAGCGGTGGAAACAGGCCATATTTCGGGAATCCTTTGTCATATTTTAGTTTTTTATTTATTTTATGATAGAGCTAGGGTGCATTTATAAAATTCTCCCCTGAACCCCCGCTAAACCCGGTTGTAATAGCCTCAAAATGGCCGCCAAAGATAGGCCTTTTTTGGCAATATTTAAAACACGCGGTGGAAAACAGGCCATATTTCGGGAACCCTTTGCCATATTTTAGTTTTTTCTTAATTGTAATATGTAAGTTACGCCTTACATATATACATACATATTCCTGCCATGTTGTTTTCCGTCATTAGGAGGTCCTTTCGTGCTTGATTAAGTAACTTTTATCTGACCATTTCGAATGTTTGTTTTTCTCCGATGTGTGAATGTAATTTTATTATATTGTATCATAGACTATAAATTAAAGCAATATTTGCGATTTTATAGGCATTATTAAATTGTTTATGACTGGCATTTTCATGCAATATCATCTTTGTTGCATATTTGATAAAATGTGTTTTAAATTTAAACCTGCCATTAGTAGATAGTCGGTTAGATGGCACTACGATGCACGTTTTCGCGTTAAATATTGCTTGTCGGTGGTAGTGACTGCACACCGTGTCCGTGTGCGATCACGCGATTTCGCACAAGAGATAAGTTTGTTTAGCTGCAGATATCACATCTTGCAGTTTATATTGGCATCGTTTAAGCAAGTATTCTTTAATTCTCAAATCATGAATACAACTAACAATTTTACATTAGGTGTAATAGTTTATTATAAAAATCTGAACTATCTTATTTTATAGAGAATAGTCCGTAGATTAAGACGCTGAGATGCGATCCTAGTTATCTCTTTTAATTTACGAGATATTCATGATTGAATAAAAGGGCAAAAATTAAAAAATGTCATTTTTTAGTATTTTTGGTGGCGTTTTTTGACCTTTTACTGTTGAAAATATAATTATTTTATGTTTTTATCTGATAGAGAATTTTCCAATCTTTCATAATCAGCAATTTGCTGGTTGCTATCTCTTTTAGTTTAAGAGATATTAATTATCGAAAATCGTCAATAATTATCAATTATCAATGTGTTGATTGTTAATTATAACATAATTCAAATGTATGAAATATATTTGTTTTAATTAATGTTTTCGTTTAGTTACAGCATTTGTTGTGCCTGGCAGTCCGATAAGCTGTACACTGGTAAGTTTATAATTCCATTATATTTTTCGGTCAAATTTACATTTGCTGTTTATAAACAAGTTTTCTATTTATCACGTACTGATTCACGAGGTGATTGCTCTTAAATTGCAAATACAAAAAAATATCAAAAAATTAACGATTGCCGGGGCCCGCGGATATTCCCCGGGGCCCTTATTGAATCTCCCTGTAGTTTTTTTGTATAACACGCGAACGCGATGTCACAACAAGTTCGGAATAATTTTTCTATATGCAGAATTTAATTTTGTATCTCTCTGTGTCAAAATTTATTGCGACAAAATTCCGTAACGCGAGTTATACCTATTGAAAGTTGTGGGTGTGCACCGTAGTATTCGTTGCGTTAGAAATTGTAGTTTTTTAGCATAACACGCGAACACAGTATCACAATAAGTTCGGAATAATTTCCCCAGATGCAGAATTTAATTCTATATCTACCTGTATAGAAATTTATTGCGAAAAAGTTCCGTAACGCGAATTATATTGAAAGTTGTGTGTATACGCACTAGTACTTGTTACGCTATGAATTGTAGTTTTTTTAATATAACACGCGAACGCGGTGTCACAATAAGTTCGGAATAATTTTTCTAAATGCATAATTTAATTCTGTATCTCCCGGTGACAAAATTTATTGCGACAAAATTCCGTAACGCGAGTCATATTGAAAATTGCGTGTGTGCACCGTAGTACTCGTTGCGCTAGTAATTGTAGTTTTTTTTAGCATAACACGCGAACGCGAATTCACAATCAGTTCGGAATCATTTCCCCAGATGCAGAATTTAATTCTGAATATCTCTGTATTTAAATTTATTGCAAGAAAATTCCGTATCGCGAGTTATATTGAAAGTTGTGTGTATGCGCACTAGTACTTGTTACGCTATGAATTGTAGTTTTTTTAATATAACACGCGAACGCGGTGTCACAATAAGTTCAGAATCATTTTTCTAGATGCAGAATTTTATTTTGTATCTTCCTGTATTGAAATTTATTGCAAGAAAATTCCGTATCGCGAGTTATTTTAAAAGTTGTGTGTGCACCGTAGTGTTTGATGCGCTAGGAATTTTAGTTTCTCGGTATTAAAATTTTTTGCAAGAAAATTCCGTAACACGAGTTATATTGAAAGTTGTGTGTATACGCACTAGTACTCGTTGTGCTAGGAATTGTAGTTTTTTTGATATAATACGCGAACGCGGTGTCACAATAAGTTCGTAATAATTTTTCTAGATGCAAAATTTAATTTTGTATCTTCCTGTATTGAAATTTATGGCGAGAAAATTCCGTAACGTGAGTTATATTGTTGTGTGTGAACATTCGTAATTGTCTATATACTTATTTGATTGTGTTTGATTTATTGTGAATGATAATTAAGTCTCCATCGCTGTTGGATATATGTTATATGGACTTTCAATTTTTCTTATATCCCGTCGTGGAAATTAGGTCATATCTCGGCCACCGTTTGCACCATTTTCAATTTCCTAAAACGCATCGTGGAAATTTGGTCATATCTCGGCCCAGGGCCGATGAGAGGGAGGGTCAACTGGAGTAAATTCCTCGGGGCCCGGTTGATCGCTCTTAAATCGGAAACACAAAAAATTTGGCAAAAAATCAACGATTGTCGGGATTGCCGCAGATTTTCTTCGGGAAGCCGTGCTGGCTCTCGACGGACCTGCCTACCTGTGACTCAAATTAGATGACCGGCACAGCGATATTCGCACAGAGATTCAGCACAGAGATATTCGCAATTTAAAAATAAGGACAAAAAAGAAAAATTGCACTATTAGTCACGTTTTGGTCCTTTTATCCCACGAAATTAAATTGTTTTAAATTCTTATCTAATGCAGAATTTTCGAATCTTTCATAAGTTTCAATCCGTTGGTCGTTACCGCTTTTAGTTTAAAAGATATGCACTATTATCGTTTATTGAATCGAATAATAACGTTTATTTTTCCTTGTTTATTTATTTGTATTGCAATTAATCGCAATTGTATAGTTGAGTCTCATTCGGTTTACCGTAGCAGGGTATCGATAGAAGTGACTTATGTTCTGGGCTCCGTACGAGGGTGCCGATAAAAGTGGCTCGTGTTCATGGCACCGTAGGAGGGTAGTGGTAGAAGTGACTCGTGTTCAGGGCACCGTACAAAAGCAGCGGTAAAAGTGACTCGTGTTCAGGGCACCGTACAAGGGCAGCGGTATTTGCGAAACTAATTGTCCGAAATTGTGTAACTAATGTTTTGTTTCTTCTCTACTTTACTGTTTTCTTTTAATTACAATACTTGCTGTACCCTTGCAATCCGATGAACGCTGCATTGGTAAGTTTATAATTAAGTTATATTATTCGGTTAAATGTTTTATCACATTTCATGCAATAGCCCGCGAATTTGGGGGCGCGTATATATTTCACTTAATGATAATATGGAAAACAGATCATATTGCGGAAAACCTATGTGAAATGTTCAAATTTTTTTATCGGATTCTGATAGCGCAAGAGGGGTTTTGTTAATTTTTTTGTTGATTTAGTTGAGTCTCATTTGATGTACCATAGCAGGGTAGCGATACAAGTGACTCGTGTTCAGTACACCGTATGAGGGTAACGGTAGAAGTGACTCGTGTTCAGGGCACCGTATGAGGGTAGCTCTAGGAGTGACTCGTGTTTAGGGCACCGTATGAGGGTAGCTGTAGAAGTGACTCGTGTTCAGGGCACCGTACGAAAGTAGCGGTAGAAGTGACTCGTGATCAGGGCACCGTACGAAGGTAGCGGTAGAAGTGACTCGTGTTCAGGGCACCTTGCGAAGGTATGCATTTATATAAATTTACTAGTTAACCCGGCAAACGTTGTTTTGCCATATAAATTATTTTTAGTTTCTAGAAAAATTCTAGTGTAGACAAAAAGTAACTTACATATTATAAGTGTGTAAGTATGTAAAACTTGATCAACTGAACTAATCGTGCCAAATACACTTAAAATTAATAATTTTATTATCTAAAATTTAGAATGAATTGCAAAATGTGTTGGTAACCGCATCACTCAACAATGCCTAGACCAATTTGGCTAATTCTTCTTTTAAAATGTTCGTTAAAGAGTGGTTTTTACGGCGACAAAAATTGGAATAATTACCGGGAAAATGGGGAAAAGCTGAGGTTTTCTTGTTTCAATCGATTAACGAAACAAATTCCGCAGCCTTCTACGACTTATTTTTGATTTATTGTTTTCTATTGAGTTTTGCGCAAAGTGTTTTCTACTGAGTTTTCTTTTGTCCACTGACAAACGAAACAAATTCCGCAGTTTTCGTTGGTTCATTTTTGTTTGATTGTTTCATTTCGTTTTTTGTGCAAAGTGATTAATTATCTATGATCACTAAGTATTGCATGTGACACAATTCGGTGTGTTTTAGTGGGTCTCACTAATATAATTTGTTCTTGAAAGGGTGGCGTGGAAGCGCCCTGTCAACGGGGTGACTGGTCTGTTCGGGAGAATTTTTTGCACCGACTATAAAATAGGGAGTTACACTGAGATAGCAATATGATAATTGTAAACGTTACTACCACACTTGATACATATACCATAATAATGGCCGAAAACTGTGAAGGGAGGAAAGAAGTCTTATTGTGAGAGTGAAACAGGACACCGACTTCAGTCTCATTCCTTCGAGCGGGATGAAAAAAATTAAATTACCAAAATGGCTATAAAAATATAGGGGTTGGTGATAAAAAAGTAAATATTTAGAGTTGTATGTATTTTTTAATGCCACATTATAAAAAAATAGAACCAAATTTTTTGTTCAAAATTAAAAAGAAAGAAGGGTGATCAACCCTTATCACTTAGGGGTATGAAGAATAGATAGTAGTTGATTCTCAGACCTACTGACTACGCATATAAAATTTTCCTTCGAGCGAGATGAAAAATGATTAAATTACTAAAATGGTTACTAAAAAATAGGGGTTGGTGATAAAAAAGTAAAAATTTAGGGTTGTATGTATTTTTTCATGCCACATAAAAAAATAAAAACAAAAAATTTTGAACAAAATTTAATAAATATTTAAGAGTGAACAACCCTTATTACTTAGAGATATGAAGAATAGATAATATCCGATTCTCAGACCTATTGAATACGCATATAAAATTTTTCTTCGAGCGGCATGAAAAATGATTAAATTACTAAAATGGCTATAAAGAAATAGGGGTTGGTGATAAAAAAAATAAAAATTTAGGGATGTATGTATTTTTTAATGCCATATAATAAAAAAATGTAAACAAAAGAATTTGTCCAAAAATTTAAAAAAAGTTAAGGGTGAACAACCCTTATCACTTAGGGGTATGAAAAATAGATGTTAGCCGATTCTCAGACCTACTGAATACGCATACAAAATTTGGTAAAAATCGGTAAAGCCGTTTCGGAGGAGTATGGAAACAAACACTGTGACACGCAAATTTTATATATATAGATCCGTATAGAATAATGCTTTTGAATATTGAGCTGTATAATCTGCTCTTTTGCTTTTTGCTAATCGCCTTTGACCAGAGTATGCCGTTTAATGCGCCTATTGTTTGTTGTCCTTTTGTGATTCTGTTTTGAATTTCCCTGTCCATTCGACCAGATATGTGGATTTTTGACCCGAGGTATGTGTACTCCTCGCAAGCTTTTATCACCATACCGTTGTTTAGTTGGAGGTCTTTTCCCTCTTCACCTATGACCATATATTGCGTTTTCTCCATGTTTACTGTTAGTCCCCACTCTTGGTATTGCTCTATAAGTTTGCGTGTCATGTATTCCATATCCTCTGCATCTTGAGACAGGACCACTTGATCGTCCGCAAAATGGATCGCGACGGTGTACCAGCAAAATATTCGTAACGAGCATGTGTGGCTGTTTTGTTTGATGAGTTGTGGCGGTTAGAGTGTTCTCAAGTAAGAAATAAATGTCTGTTAATTTCTGCACGAGTTTACAGTTGATAAGATATATTCCTGGATCTAAAATTTATTCATCATTGCACTGGTAGGTGTGTAAATAATTTTTTTGCGGAAAGTTAAGACGGTTTATATTAAATTAATTATTCCATTTGAGGGATATTAATTTTGCAATTTACAAACACGTGGTAGCATTTTCATCTGAATTTATAGCCCTGATTCCGAAAATAACATGCATGATTTAATTATTACCAGTATTATTATAAAAAAGTATCTGAGAATTATTATAATGACAATATTCATGTGGTCGACCACGCTCACTTTGCCATCGACCATCGGCTCGTTTCTCATTTCTTTGAACGTTTTTAATCGAATTATACTCTTTTGCATCATTATATTAAAAAGTTTCTTGTTCATCTAATAAAATCTTATACTTTGAATAGTCTCCATATATCTTAATATTTACAAGTAACTAGTTACTTTTATCGTATTTACCTACTGTATTACCACGCGCCGTCGCTTGCCGTCTGCTGATTTAGATGTTTTCCGCCGGATGTTCTATCAATTTATAATTCCCCGTCGGTTACCTTATGCAGTTGATGCTATCATTAAATTAATGATAAATATATATTGTAAATATATATAATTGTGTATATATACACAATTTATTAAAATGTAAGTGTTTTATTCTTGTAGCACATTTTTGACCCAACTTGATGATTTACGGGTAAAATCTTTGAATTTATGTTAAAATATAGTTGTTCCCGTATAAATTTCTCTCGCCATGATGTGAATATTCACCATATTTGAAGTTTTTAAAATTTTCCTTTTCTAACACCCTGTATATTAGTTTATCTAACAGTACGTAGTAAATCGCTTTATTTGTGAGTTTTGAGTGTTCTTTGTTTTAAACCTGGGATTTTCCTTTTGGAACACCCTGTATATTTGCTTTTCTTTGTGTCCATGAAAATTTTCCTTCAGCTGTGGTTTTAGGGTTTTCTTTTTGCACCTTAATTTTTTTGTAACACCCTGTTTATTAGTTTCCCAGTGCATCGGGTGAAAACGAGCAATATTTGTAGTGTTTAGATGTTTTCTTTTTTGATGGTTGAATTTTCTATTTGTGACACCTTGTACAATCGTTTTTATTTACATCCCTGAAAATTTTGCTTTGACTGTTATTAAAATTTAACTTCTTCACCTTTGAATTTTCTTTTTGTAACCCTCTGTATATTTGTTTCCCAGATTTACCATGAAAAACGAGGGATATTTGAGTGTTTAGATGTTTTCCTGTCTGCACTTAATTTTTTTCTTTTGTAACACCCTGTATATTTGTTTCCATTTTCAACCCCGTAGAAAATAGGCTATTTGCTAATTTCTTTATCCCGTTAGAACTTTACTACGAGTAAGTGGTAGGTACTTGTTTCCATGTGCGCGGATATTCTGTTGACATGTAAAATATTTACTTGTATTCTAAACATGAATATAACTAACAATTTTACATTAGGTGGAATTGTTTATTATAAAAAGCACTTAAGCACATATCACTTAAATATTTGATGTAAAATCTGGCACTCTGTCAGCATAAGAAATCATAATTACGCAAATCGAATTTTAATTTTTCATTTAGTTTTACATTTTCTTGTTTGTATTATATTTAATCATCACTCGACTATTTAATTGTAATCACTAGAGTAGTGTTATTTACTATTTGCGCGTTTATTGTGCGGCCGGTTTGTGATCGCGGGGATAGTGTATATTGCAACTCACAACAGTTGCTAGATGAATCAAATAAATATCGCCCCCATATTGATTTATACATCATTAGGATAACCCAGTTTATAACTGATGTGAAACATTATATTATATTTTATTTAATTAACATTGAAATTGGCTCCAGCGGCGAACCACGAGTAACGCTCGTATACTATGCGAACGGTTCGGACCACGAAACACGGCTCACGCTCCTGGTATTTAGATATGTATTAACTTAAAAACTACTAGTGAGGCTCGTAGTTATAGTTCAAAGGATTAAGTGCACATTAGAAATGTTTCGATTCCAATTCTATTCTATCGGGGTATGTGTATAAACAACTTTTTGTATCGCGATAAACGCGCGCAATGTTGCGTTCACACTACGAACGTTCGACCATTTCAGTCTGTTCTTACCTGCAAGCCGCTCGGCATCGTCCTTTTATTCATTTCGATTACATTAACTACATTATTATTTATTAATTAAAAATCGGCATAAATATTGGCACTTAATAACAATAGACGTGTAATAGTGTTTTGCGAAAAATTTGTTCCGGGTAAAATGATAATAAAACTTGTGCTTCATCCATGCGTTAGTGGTCCGTCGGATATTGGATTATTTTGATGCTGAGAATTGAAATTAGAAATATGTATCCTATGTATAGTTTTGAGTAAGTGTAATTAACGTCGCGGGAATATTGTCGGTTAAAATAGTGCATGTTCATTAAGGGATGGAACTGGTTTAAATAAGTGAGCATCATAGTGCGAATTCTCACACACGTGCTATTTTTTGTTTCAGTACTTTCTTTGATTATCCGACACACTGGTAAGTTTGTAAACTTTATTAAATCATAATTAATTAAATTTTTGTCTTAAATGACATGTAACGTGAGTACCGTAATAACTCAAAATTGACGCATGCCGTCGGATGCGTCTTCGGTTTCGCTGCAGACTTTGCTTTTTCCATGTCATTCATCGATTTAATAGCGTGAACTTTCTTCGCTCGTATTTTCTTTTGATGTCATAATGCTCCAATCACGGAGACGTGTTTTAATAGACAATTTAAATTTCTTTCCGCGTGTGTACATGACTTGACGTCGGCCGACACATTTTGCCTTGCTTGTAGCGTATCTGGAGAACCCGTCACAAAGAAAATTTTAGGATCGCAATAAAATTCATATTGATGTTTTATTTATCTATTACTCTACCTTTCCTACCTTTCCTGTTTCTAATTTTACATTTTTTAAATTTAAATTTTCTTTGATTTTTCTTCTAGCTCTCTATTCCTAATTCAAAATGTTGAATTTACTAATTAAATGCAGCTATTTTCTTTTTATATCATCCTATGTATTACTTTTCCTTGCTCTCTAATGTAAAACTGACAAAATTTATCGTTTCCGGGTCGTTTTCTACTTAAAATTTGTATTTTATTTTTAAATTAAGGAATTTGCAATTTGTAACACCCTGTATGTTTTTTTATTTCCTATTATAAGTTTTCTAAATTTGTTATCCCCGAGTGTATTCTTTCATGAACTTTTGATTTTATTTTTGTAGCACCCTGTATATTCATTTTCCTTGTTGTCCGTGAAAATTTAGCTTTAACTGTTGATTTTAGGTTTTTCTTCTTTGCACTTTGAATTTTCTATTGGAAACACCCTGTATATTAGTTTTCCTGATTGTTGATGAAAACGAGCGACGTTTGACTGTAAACACTAGTTTAGAATTTTTTGTTTTCGTCGAAAACGGGCTATTTCCTAATTTCTTTATACCGGTAGTACTTTGCGAAGTGCTACTTACTTGCATGTGCGCGACGATGCAGGTCGTAAGTCTTCTTTCAATATGGCGGCATGTATTTTGTTGACTTGTAAAATCTAAACTTGTATTCTATTATTAATAAATAAATAGTAAGATATATTGACTTCTTTTATTTGTGTGTACCCCTTCTATCATTTCAGGAAGAGTTCCCTCTCTCAGGGGATGATCCCCACTATAAATATTATTAAGGCAACCTGTATGATTTGTGTACTCCTTCCTTCATTTCAGGTACAGGTCAGAACTTGTAAGAGTATTTTTAAGTGTCGTCTCTCTTGAGACGACTTTAAACTTAGAAATATTTGAACAAGACCTTATAAGGATCGTCCTTATAAGGAGTTCCCTCTCTCTGGGGGTGATCCCCCACCATAAAAATTGTTGATATGCCTGATAATTTCGGGGATGAAGCGCAGAGACATCGTAGCTGTAGGATGGGCCGGGAGCAATGGACGCATCGAAGCAGTGGGCTGTCTTATAACGACACGTGCCAAAAAATTTAAAAATCTGATCCTCCCCTCTTTCTTCTATCTCCTCCTCTTCTCTACTCTACTCCTCTGTTCTCTTCCTTCTATCTTCTCCTATTCTCTACTACTCTCATTCTTCTATTTCTCTGTTCTCCCGTTCTCCATTTACTTTCTCACTTCTCTTATTTAGCCTCCACTTGTATTTCAATTTCTCGTATATTTCGTTGCCATTCATATATGCAACCCAAATTACACCTGATATTTTTATATTTGAGAAAAATGCCTCCGATACCTGACTCGATCCGTGTCTACTAGCATGCCAGCAGGTGCACGTATCCACTCGACCACCGAGTGTTTTTATCATTTATATTTGATTCTTCTATTTATGTTTCTACTTTATTCAACTTTTTAAAAACAACAACACAAGCCTTACCTACCTATGTTGCACTCACATAAGCTTCATATGAAATATGATTTAAGACGCATATCCTGAAAACGACAAACAAGATATCACAAAAAAATATGAATGAGATTTCAATTGTAAATTTAGTTTTATTAATTATATTTAACAATACATTCTTCTTTCTTTTTTAATAAAACGAACGGCATATCCTACATACCAACGAGCCACAACGCTCTCTTATGAAATGTTACACACAAAGCAGAATTGTTAGTAGAATTGATGTTACTACTCACTGTATAACTTTTGCACTTACAACTATGCCACGCGGAGAAAACGCGTGATTTATCCCTTCTAATTAACAATACCATATTGGCCTATAAATCCAATTGGAATCCGTAGCCCAACGCAAGAGATCCGAAGACCGGCGACTGATGGCCTACACACGCGCACGTGGTGTCTTAAGTTTCGAGTCCGAAATACTAACAGTCGCAACGAACAGTAGCGGAGAAGAAATGGAACACGAGCACATAGCACAATTGCGTATCACCGACTGATTGAACAGGAAAAACAGCAGTCAATACGCCAGCGCAAGATGTACTGAGCAGTAGCGAACACTTGAACCCGACGACACACGGCGACCGGTGGGGTACTGTTCAAATTTCAAATTGCAGCGCACAGCGTGCTGCGCAAGCCAACGTCGAACCGCACGTATAAACAAACTGTGGAATATCCTGCAGATCATACAAAGAACATGGATTGAACATGAAACTTTGATATTGCTCTCTTATTCTAACTCACCCGCTATCACCTCATCTTGGTATTTCAATTTCACTCACTTGAACGAAAATTAATAAAACACAATCCATATTATATATACCCCAAAAACTATTCAAAATGACTAAATGTAAACATGTTGTAAACAAACAGGTACAAATTATCGACATAACAACGTACGAAACATACAATTTATCTAACAACACACGTTCTACACGTACATCTCCTACGACATTAGAATATAACATCATCAAGAATTAAATTTTACATCTTTATGGACCTCGCTGATATTACGCAGATGACACGTTCATGTGCTAAACCTCGAAAACCAGCAAAATCAGTGCTTCGAAACACAAAAAGTATATTTTTCTCGCAATTTAATAGGTTATTCATAAAAGCTATATATGAAAATGATAAAGAAATTAAATACTTACAATCCGATGCAAGAATGGTCCTTCTACGGTGTCAGACTCAAGTGCAAAATCCCTAAAACCGGCAAAAATTAGTCCTTCGAACATAAAAATGCAATTTTGGGGATCAATTTGTGAGATAATCACAAAAGTTATTTAGGAAAATGATAAAGAAATTAAATACTTACAATCTGATGCAAGAATGGTCCGTCGACAGTGTCAGACTCGGTTCAAAAGTCCTAAAACCAGCAAAAATTAGTGTCTCGAAACAAAAAAATGCAGCTTTTATGGCTCTCCCGTGAGAAAATTGCAAAACTAAGTCATAGAGATGATACAGAATGGCAATACTTACAGTTTGATGCAAATTGGCCCTCCTGCGAGTTCCCGTTCAATGTCTATTGCCCTAAAACAAGAAAAATTAGTGTCTCGAAACACAAAAATGCAGTTTTAATGGTGTTCCCGTGAGAAAATTGCAAAACTAAGTCATAGAGATAATACAGAATGGCAATACTTACAATTTGATACAAAAATGACCTTCTTTTAAGTTCCCGTTTAATTTCACCAGCCCTAAAACAAACAGATATCAGTGCCTCGAAACACAAAACTGCAATTTTTATGGCTTTCCCGTGAGAAACTTGCAAAACTAAATCATAGGGATGATACAGAATTACAATACTTACACTTTCATGCAATAATGACCCTGCTGCGAGTTCCCTTTCAATTTCTACAGCCCTAAAACAAACAGAAATCAGTGCCTCGAAACATAAAAATGCAATTTTTATTACTTTCCCGTGAGAAAATTGCAAAACTAGGTCATTGAGATGATACAGAATTACAATACTTACAATTTGATGTAAAAATGACCCTCCTGCGAGTTCCCGTTCAATTTCTACAGCCCAAAAACCAACAGAAATCAGTGCCTCGAAACACAAAAATGCAATTTTTATCACTTTCCCGTGAGAAAATTGCAAAACTAGGTCATAGAGATGATACAGAATTACAATACTTACAATTTGATGTAAAAATGACCCTCCTGCGAGTTCCCGTTCAATTTCTACAGCCCTAAAACAAACAGAAATCAGTGCCTCGAAACACAAAAATGCAAAATTTATGGCTTTCCCGTAAGAAAATTGCAAAACTAGGTCATAGAGATGATACAGAATTACAATACTTATAATTTGATGCAAAAATGACCCTCCTACGAGTTCCCGTTCAATTTCTACAGCCCTAAAACAAACAGAAATCAGTGCCTCGAAACATAAAAATGCAATTTTTATTACTTTCCCGTAAGAAAATTGCAAAACTAGGTCATAGAGATGATACAGAATTACAATACTTACAATTTGATGCAAAAATGGCCCTCCTGCGTGTTCCCGTTCAACTTCTACAGCTTAAAAACAAGAAAAATTAGTGTCTCGAAACACAAAAATGCAATTTTTATTACTTTCCCGTGAGAAAATTGCAAAACTAGGTCATAGAGATGATACTGAATTACAATTCCTACAAATTGATGCAAAACCGAATTTTGCTGGAGTTCAGAGGTGCATTTTATAAATGCACTCTTGCCCTATTATAAAACAAAGAAAAAAACTAAAATATCATAAAAGGTTCCCGAGATATGGCCTGTTTTCCACTGCTTGTTTTGAAAATTACACGAAAAGGCCAAATTTTGGCTGCTATTTTGAGGCTGTTACGACCGAATTTAAAGGGGATTCGGGAGTGCATTTTAAAAATACACTCTTGCCCTATCATAAAAGAAAGTCCTATCATAAAATAAAGAAAAGAAAAAATATCTCAAAGGTTTCCCGAGATATGGCCTGTTTTCCACCGTGTGTATTGAAAAACACGAAAAACGGGCAAACTTTATCATTTCCTTCGTTTTCTATATTACCCGGAATTACAATATTGCAACACGCAGGTCATAAAACATTTGGCCGAATAATATGACTTAATAAAAACTTACCAATGCAGTGCTCATTGGATTGGTAGGGCAGCACAGCAAGTACTGCAATTAAAAGAAAACATAAGTTGAAATAAAAACACTGCATACAATATAATATTATATTCATACATCGGAGAAAACAAACATTCTCTGCTGAGTTGCGCAAGTCAGATATAAGTTACTTACTCAAGTACGAGGGGACCTCCTAATGACGGGAAACATCATGGCAACAATATGCATTTGGGATATAAACATCAAACGCAAACATATAAAAATTATGGATATTAAACGCACGATTAACCATTAACAAAACACTGCAGAAGCATGTTACAACTAAATAGTCAATTGATGACCGAATACAATGCAAATTTAGAAAATAAAATAATCCGATAAAACGATACGAGTCGCGGGAAATACGTCCAGATACGCCAGCGACCTGCACGAAACTAGCTGCAATCCATCGATAGCGCAAGCAATGCCATGAACCCCGCAGGTAAAAGCAATATATGCGCAAAGCGGCCCGCCGATGACACGCGACCTTGTGTGTGAATTGCAACAGGCATGTTACCTGCGATCACAACTAAACTAAGACGTGACAACGTGCGGCGTAAGGGGATGGCAACGTTGACCCACGGGCATTCGATAAGAAAGTGTAAGTTGTATTCAAAACAAACACAATTCTCGTATCGAATGCCAACGTTAGCTGAGAAATAAAGAAATAAAAAATACAATTATATTTTATAATTTTTAGCTCAGGCAATTGCCATCTCTGAATGCTACAGATAGTAATCCCGAAATTAAAATTCTTAAAACTAATCAAAAATTAAAATTTGAGTTGTGTAATTCTAATTTCTAATGGTGAAAGATTTTCATGGGGTAAAAGGGCAAAAAAACGTGACTAAAAGTGCTAAAATGTGCTATTGTTCTTTTTTCACCCGATTCATTCAATTTCTAATATATCGTAAACTAAAAGCGGTAGTAAGGAATGGATTGAAAAATATTAATCTACGATAAATTCTCTGTAAGACAAAGTATTAAAATATGGCAAGATGTGCTTCAGCAAAGCAAACAAGGTTGCAACAATTCATGATAAGACTACCTACGCGATTTGCAATAGACACGATACCTGCAATCTAAACTAAACTAGAATATGCTGCAAATTATATTACCCGTTTGTGTCGAGCGATTTTATATTAACGATTTCGTTATCGGCTCACGAGTTATTTAATATAATTTATTTATTGGTTCGAATCGCGGATTACAATTGGTTTTAGACTTTGATTCACTTTTGTTGGTTTTTGGGATTTGTTAAGTGGGTTCTTGATGATTGATTCAGAATAACTTATTAACTTTCACTTGTTTATTCAACGAACTTGGAAGATATAATAATCACTTAGATCTAGGTCTGCGCTCTATTTATATGGCTTTAATGTGCGTTGCAAATAAATATGAAAGGAAGATGCGCAACGAAACAGGAAATGCGCAATTAGGTGACTTAGAGACAATGATTTCTAGAAATTGATAATTACGTTTGAAATAAATAAGTATTGCGCTTGAAATAAATATTGAGATTGCGTCTTAACTAATGATTCTTGTTTGGTCATCGGGTTCTGTTCATATAACTTGCATGCAGCAAGTTGATGCGGCGTGAGAAGACGGCGCGCGAGACACATGCGATAAAAAGTTGTTTATATCGAAACGCTGATAACAGCACTGTATACAAAATTATTCTCGTGGCCACGTTTGATATGATTTTTAGTACATCCTAGTGCCATCTATGAATGCTACAGATAGTAGTCCCGGAATTTAAATTAATAAAGTTAATAAAACAAAAAAATGGTTGTTTGTAAAGTAGGTTTACGATCGAGATGTTTACGTGATAACGTCTTATTGGTGATATAAGTTTTTTTTGTTGCAATTGTTGTAACACTTCACTTGCACTTCACATTTTGTTTCACTGTTAAATATTCAACGAAAACTTAACCGCACGAGAAAATCTCCATTCGTTTGTATGCCGCTAGAGTGAGAGAGACGGAAGATCGGTCCACTCACTCGAACACTATGCCTGCCTCCGCTCGTGTGGATTCCGCGTGTCAAGTTTCACGGAATGACTGGCAGCGCTCGAGATGAGACGGGAGATCGGTCCGTCTCTCTCTCTCTCGTTATACCTGCGATCGGAGGCCTCGTGACACAAGTTTCTGAACATGTCACCCGACTAAAACGATTTTAAAGACGTTATCACGTCTTTAATTTGAACATGTATTGCTATACTATTTAGGTTTATATTTTAGCAATGAACAATTCCACCTGAATTCTAAAGAAAATTTATACTAAAGGCTCGTAAAAACGTTGTATTGCAACTTCGGTAGAAGAATTTATAAACTTCAACTGAACGTTTTCTGCTGAAAATTATTATCACATTTGACCAAATTACGGGTAAACTATGAGGTCCAACAGTAAAATTTTAATAAAATAAAATGATCAGGAGAATGATTTATAGCAACATCCAAAATAAAAACTTAAAATTTTCAAATTTAATTTTTCAGTAGAAAATGTGACCTCACATTTCATCAAATTGCGGGAAAACTATTAGTCCAAGAGTGAAATTTTATTAAAATAAAATGCTCAGAGCGACGTTTTTTCCATTAAACGTCGCTCTGAACATCCGTAGTAAAAAGGTTTGAATTTCCATTTTCCAACGCAAAAAGAAGTTTAAGATAAAATCGAAAAATTGATATTATGAACGATAAAAAATTTCACAAATAATAAACAAGAAAAAAACATTAGTTATACAATTTCGGACAATGTTGAAATGAATCCGAATTCCGGAGCAACCAAAATTTTGCTTTAAAAATTGTCTTATTTGCCATAATTATTTAAATAATAATATTTAGCAGGTAGAACAGCCGCCCGTCGTGTTCTGCTGAAGACAAAAATGGTTCGCACAACTTCAAAATATTATTTACCATCACACAACATGGCTGACTGGCGTCCGACGGTAAGCGATCCTAGATACACGCGAAACTGCAATAAACACACAAAACATTGAATTCCGAAGATTACACACGCGATAAATATGTAGCGACTAAAACCCGTCTAGTAACACTAAATTCCAGCAAATATAACGCGATATAACGAATTTACAACACGAATCACGAATATGCATTTAAGTATTAGTACTTATCGCACGAAGTAAGAGTTCCGTGCCGGCTACACCAGATCTGGGGACCTCGACTTTCACTCGCAGGAATATTTTTAGTTAAAACATGCATCGTTGCGCCACCTGAGAATACTTTATTGTACCACCAGAAAATACAAAGCGTTTCAAAAAGTGTGGCGTACATATTTTATTCTACATCTCTAGATGCCCCGCTAAAGTTAGTGCGCCGCCCCGTTTGAAATGCATTAATGCGATTGTCCTGTATATGACCTTGCCAAAAAATTGAGAATTCTAGTCCGACCTAGGTGGTTGCGCCGTCGGCAACTCAAATTTATATAAGTTTGGCGCGAAAGTAGTACCACCAGCATCTACTTGGACGTGATGGCAAGTGTGTAATAAGTTTGGTGACCCAAAATGTAGGCAAGCAAAAACACACCAAAATAACTGGGTGTATACAATTTAAAAATTGTTATTTTTTTGAAAAGTCCAAACGTTCCATTAGCAATTGCTCTAAATATTATAATTTGTCTTGCGGTTAATTTATATTGTTTGGTTATTATTAAATTTAAAATATTTATATTTTTAATGTAAATTTAACATTCATTCATAACATTCATCAGAACGCCCTTTATATATTATTGTTCAGTCTGTGTTCACCATCTTGAAATACGTTACGATTCAAGTTTATGAATTTTTACTAACAGTTTTAAGAAAAAAAAATGAATCAAACACCAGTTCGCAATAAGCTCTTGCTGAAAACAAGATCACTCACCATTCCACCATCACCGCAAATGCAAAAGTTGGGATACGGAACAGGTAATTCTTTACAATAATTCGAGCAACTACTGAAATGGTAAACATAATTTCAGGTGTAACTGTTTATAAACTTGATCGTGAGCAAAACGGATCACCATGGGTTCTTAAAAAGGTTTCGCGAAAAGGTCCCAGACACGAAGAAATGTCCATGCGCCTCAAGATTGAAGCATCAATTCTTAAAACCTTAAACCATCCAAACATAGTTGGCTTTCGAGCTCTACTTCAAGAAAGTGATGGAAGAAAATGCATTGCAATGGAGGACTGCACTATATCTCTAGGAGATTTGATTGAAAAAAGAGTCTATGACGATGAAATTCATTCACCTTTTCCAGCTGACAAAATTGAGAAAGTCCTCAAAGATGTAGCTGAAGGTTTAAATTATTTGCACAATGAAGCACTTGTACTCCACTGTGACATCAAATCGTACAACATCTTGGTTAAAAATGAGTTTCAAATATGTAAGATATGTGATTTTGGCGTGAGTATGCCTTTGAAGAAGGATGGCACCCTAGATTATTCCAAAACTGGTGATGAAGCTGAATTTGTAGGCACTGACCCATGGTGTGCACCTGAAATATTGCAAGAGGGGCAGGTTATCACAGTCAAGGCAGATATATTTGCATATGGGTTGTGTTTATGGGAAATGATTGCCTTAAAAACACCTTATGTAACTTCTGATGATGATTCACAATTGAATGATAGTAAATATGAAGATGATAGTGAGGAAGATGAGGTTGAGGAAGAACTTTTAAGTGTGAGAAAAAGACCAAAGGTGCCTTGTGAGTACCTAGATGACACTTATTTACCAATTCTTCAGATTTATTACTTATGCACTGAGCAGGACTATAAAAAACGTCCAAATTCTAAAGATTTATGTAAAATTATAAAGGAACTGACTTTTGAAGAGAAATAATTTAAGTCAACCAAAGATACTTGCAAGGATAACAATAACCAGCAATAATAGAAAGATTCCGATGCAAATTTTAATCTAAAAATTTAATATTAGAAATCAACATTATTTTTAAATTGTTTTATTACTTACGATCAGTCCGCGTTTTTTATTCTTCTTTGCTTTCTGCAACTCATCAACTGCTTTGTCAATATGGTCTGTTGCTTGAACCGCGAAAAACTCGACTCTGTTTAAACTATCTTGTTGTAATTCAACCAGAGTCGCTAAATTAACGAATAAATCACGAATCTCCACCAAGTGCTCTTCGATAGTGACTAATTGTTCATGGCGCGCTTCAAGATTTGCTAATTGACTTCGTGCTTCTAGTTCATTTTGAATGTACTGCAAAAACAAACGAAAATACCAAATTTATTTTATTTATTATATAAAGCATATAAAATAAATTGTGAACTTACATCCTGTGTAAAAATGTGCGGGTTTTCTTCAATCAACTGATTAAGTTGTGAATCATCGAGTTCGTCGTGATTGACTATTTGATGACATTTCGCAATGAAATTTTTCTCGCTCTGGCAAATCTGTTGCGCCCACGCCTGGTGCTCGCCGGCGACGATTTTGAATCGTTCGACTAACCCAGTGTACTGCACAAGTTTCATGCGATATTCGGCGCAAGTTTTATTCTCAGACGATTTTAAATTCAAGTTATTCTCTTTTAACGATTTTGCGATTAAATGCGCAAGACTTTCGGATTCTTTAAATACATCTTTTAATTTCTTACTTATTCCTAAAATGTGAACACTTTAATAAATGTATATTTTTGAATGATATTGTTTTGGTTGGAAAACCTTTTGAACTTGCAGATTTCCTGTAGGCAGCTTCGCATTTTTTTGTATTTTCTTCTAGTTCGTCTATGCGGCTTCTGATAACCTCGAAATTTTCAAAGGTGTTCTCTTGTTCTTCCATTTCCAGCTTGGTGTCACGGTTTTTATTTTTCTTTGATTTAACTTTATCATTTTTGCTAATTTCCTACATTAAGTGAAGACTAAGTTAAATGTTCATTTATTAAATAAATGTTTCTTACCTGTTGCAGCTCATCGTATCGATTTTTCGGCATTTTTGTGTTTAACTCACACCAGGTGTGTCACATATCGTTCCACCTCCTACATACAACCGCAACTGAGGTACCACTCCATAACTGTTAAACAAACACCTGAGGTAAGTCAGTCAACACTGATAAAGCGATAACAAGTCAAGGACTTTTGATGTGATAAAAAACTTAAATTATGAGAAAGGAAAGTAGGTTACATTATTGGTTATGTTGCCAAATATTGGCAACTACTATTAAGTGGAAGATGGTGTACATAACGTGTTTAATTAATTAGAATTGATAGTTATATCAGAATCCAGTTAAAAATTCAAATTTTAGTTATAATCATACGTTTTAGTTTTAATCAAAAGAAAGAGAAAAGATTTGACTTTGTATGACAAAATCTTTTCCTGGGTGTTTCGACTGAAATTAATTTTAACTATAAAACGGATCCTGGCTTTTGACACAATAGTCAATTAAGTATCACGTGGCTAAGCGGGACATTTGGTTTAACAACGTTTTGCCTCGTGATGTTTTGTATTTGAACTTTTGTATTTTAAATCTTCGAAATTCGGTCGCTCACTATTCCTTGAAATGTAAGGTTATAAATGCTGTGCCACGCGCCGCGCTGACACGAGTGACTAACCTATTTTAGCCACGGTTGCCGTCCGTCAAAGTACCACTTTATGTATCTTAAAACCGTGGAAAAACTGGCGCTTTAAAGGCGGAAGTAGTGACAAAAATACGTATTTTAGAGAAGCGCTTTAGGACACTTCTTGGTGGTTCAGAGGACCGGAAAGGTAGAGCCTCTGCGATTACAATATAACGATAAAATATCTCTAATTTTCTTCAGAATAAAAATGGAAATTTAATAGATATCAGTTAGTTCCTTTAAAATTATATCTAAATACAATAAAGGGGACAGAAAAAAAAAACAACAAAATAATAATAAATAGTATGTATAATAATAATAAATTTTTGCATTGCCTTTTGTTTTCGGTAAAATATTTTAAACACTATTTTGTAAATGTGAAATACAGTTTAACTGTTGATAACTTGAATCATATCATTTTGTATGGTCGGCTATGGTTGGTGTGCTGAGTTGACAAGACGCCTCTTCTATGCGATAGTGCACACGCATACATATTATCATTGCGTGCTGACATGGTCAAATATAATAAATAATCTCCAGTAAATATTAAGCTTTGCTATGCACAAGCAGTCGATTAATTCACTTCAGTATATTGTGAGCGTTTAAGGTTGAACAGTTCTTAGTGTTTAAGTTGTGTGGTTAAAATGGCTACTTTATGGACAATTGTTCAAGTGATATTGTTCATTATTGCTCACACAAATGGATATTGTAATGATACATACGAGCAACGTAGTGAATACAATTTCAATCGCTACTATTGCTATTATTGCAATGTTACCCAAAAAAAAATGGCGAATGGACTGTTGAAGGATTAGATTCAAATTTGTACGGTGTCAGTTATAATAGAATAATTATAATATCAATGCAGAATCTTAAATTTAGCGACTTTACATTGCAAACTGTCATCACAGATGACATAGCTTTTTATTTTGGTATCGTTGAGCTGATTATTGAGGATTCGCAAATTGACAGAATTGTAAACTTTGCTTTTCCTAAACAAAAATCATCTAGATATGGTACACGTGATGTTAATTATCGCTTCGTAAGTTTTAAAAACAATAATATATCAACAATTGAAGAAAATGCCTTCAATAATTTAGAAAGTGTTACAAAATTTTCATTTTCAAATAATATTGTCGGAAATAAAATAGGAACTATTACTTCGCTTAGTAAACTGGTTAGTGTAACGAGTTTAGATTTATCAAACAATAACTTAACAAGCATTTCAAATGAGTTGTTTACTGCTAATATAAATATTCAATATTTGAATTTGTCTAATAGCCAGATAAAACACATTGTTCCCAATGCATTTATATATCTTTCGAAATTAGAAGTTCTCGATTTGTCAATGAATATGTTATTAAATGTACACCAAAACAATTTACTAAATTTAAAGGATATCAGTTATATCTTTCACAATTTATCAGCACTACATACATTAATTTTATTTGGTAATAATATATCAAATTTTGATAATGCATTAGGTTATCTTCCGTCATTGGAAGAACTCGATTTATCACATCAAAATTTAAACAGTATATCAAACGAATTGTTTCCAGAAATCAGTGCTTTAAGGAAATTGAACATGTCTAACAATATAATAAGTAAAATAACTCCAAATGCATTTAAGAATTTGAAAGAGCTGATGATTTTAGATTTGTCAAATAATAAATTAAATGTATTGAATCCAATATCATTACAAGATTCACAAAATCCAAATACACCTAAGTACATTTTTGATAATCTTCAAAAATTACACACCATAATTTTATTTGTTAATAATATATCAAATTTTGATAATGCATTAGGTTATCTTCCATCATTGCACAAACTCGATTTAACATATCAAAATTTAAGCAGTATATCGAACAAAATGTTTCCGGAAATCAGTGCAATAAAATACCTAAATATATCAAACAATAAAATCAATCAAATATATCCGAATACATTTGTAAATATGCAAAATTTAGAACATTTAGATTTGTCACACAACCAAATAAAAAACATGCACATTGCATCTTTGCATGGGTTACTTGTTTTACAATCCTTAAATCTAAGTTATAATCATTATACGGTTGATAAATATTTAATATTTAATACACCTAAATTATCATTCTTGGATATCAGTTACAATAATTTAAGTGACATTGATGAAACATTATTTAAAGGATCGCATTTGAGCTCAATTAATATCGATGGTATGCAACTGAGTTGTACAAGATTAGTCGAAATAGTTAAATATTTTAAAACATTAAATATTAATTGTGTTGCTGGAAAAGAACAAAATCGTTTACATCTATTTGGAATGCATTGTAATCATTCCGATGTAATAGAATCCACTACAATGCAAAACATTATCGAATCTACCAACATACCAAATTCTGATATTCAATTGTCTAATAATAAAATACTATCAGAAGTATTAAACGTACTAAAACATATCAATAATAAAAATTTGAATGCAAATCTTACTCAAGTAGTTACTCAAGTTCACGATGTGCAAGAGAAATCTGACAAAACTACTCATGTTTTATTTATATTACTTATTTTACTTATTTTAATGCTTTGTCTTATACTTGTATTTCTTCCTTATATCTGGCGCAAATTTGATAGAACAAATCAGTATGTACCAACTGAAAATCTAATCACTGATTTTGAATTATCTAATAGATAATTTGCTTATAACTAAACAAAACTATCAAATCAATATTGTAATGTAAAATATCATTAAGTTTACAATTGTAATAATTAGTTGTTAGTTATTGTATAAGTATATCTATTACTATGTATACATACCCAAAACAAACTGCCAATGGACATTTGGTCATCTTTAATATGGTAATAATTAGCTTTTAATAAATGCGTAATATTTACAATAATTTTCTTTTACAGTCAGAATACTGCCATTACCACCGAGGACATCAATATCAATCATCATTAGCGAATCTTCAAAAGATTTCACTAAATGGTAAAACATTTTCTTATTAATTAAAATATTGTTTTTATAAGCATTAGTTTCCTCTTCGTTAAATTTTAGGGATTGACGGAAATTCTAGGAGATTTTCTACAACAACTTTCGCTGTTTGTCAGCTTCCAGACAATTCATCTATATTTACATTCAGAAATATATCAAATCGCTTCGCAACGCGTCGCATTCCTGGAATTCTCGGTATCTCCGATGTCGTCGCTGGTCCCATGCCACGACGTTGCTTTGGAGTTGTTATCATAAGCACCGCTGCCTGAAGACAAGGTGAATCAAAGTTGACTTTGGCTTCTTATTGGGATATATTCGTACATTACAAAGAGAGTTTCTACAATGTGCATACCTGATTAATCGGATTGACTATTTGATGACATTTCGAAATGAAATTTTTCTCGCTCTGCCAAATCAGTTGCGCCCACGCCTGGTGCTCGCCGGCGACGACTTTGAATCGTTCGACTAACCCGGTGTACTACACAAGTTTCATGCGATATTTGGCGCAAGTTTTATTTCCAGACGATTTTAAATTCAAGTTATTCTCTTTTAATGATTTTGCGATTAATTGCGCAAGAGTTTCGGATTCTTTAAATACATCTTTTAATTTCTTACTTATTCCTAAAATGTAAACACTTTAATAAATGTAGCCTACATTTTATCCTCCTACAATTTTTATCTACATTTTTGGGGTGGTAGTTAGATTTACAAAAAAAAAAAACAGAGAGTGGTCAGTGAGTCTTGAATCACAACCCCGACAACACTAGTTCTACAAAAGTTTTTTCTCGAAGTTTTGTGCGTAGACGATTTGGCACCCGTGATTTTCAAAACTGCAGTCACTAAATAATCAACAACTGCTTCTATAAAGGTACATCGTTAACATTTCTTATTATATTACAATTTTCACAAAACATATTTGAGCAACAGTAATTATTTTGGCTCTCAAAATGAGCAACGAAGCCAATTGCAAGATATAATAGTCAATAATTTATGCTTTTTTTTAAATTCATGCAGTATCTATTTTAATATTATATATTTATCCGGCGCGAAAAAGCGAAAACTGAAATTATAAAAGGAAAAAAGAAATGATCTTCAAAAAAAATTCCTTGTCATCATATTTAATACGACCATCATTAAATCAGGATAATCCTCCCCAAAGCACATCATTATTTCTCAATAATTGTGGATTCCACACCTGATATTACACATGTCGACCAACTAACATTTGTTCTGCAATATGTGGACAAAACTGGTATAGTAAGAGAAAGATTTTTTGAATTTATTAAATTTCTTGGACATGATTCTTCAACGTTAGAAGAAATTGTACTTAGAAAGTTACATGATTATGGCTTAGATATCACAAACTGTAGGGGCCAATCTTATGATAACGCTGCTAACATGTCTGGCAAGTACTGTGGATTACAGGCACGCATAAAACAACATTCCAAATCAGCTGAATTCATACCATGTAGAAGTCATTCTTTAAATTTGGCTGGGAATACTGCAGCGGAGTCTTGTTCTGGAGCATTGCAGTATTATATGTTTTTGCAAAATATATACCTATACCTTCTTTCTTTGCTGCATCTACAAGACGGTGGAATATTGGAAATTACTCGAAGGGGCGATGTCTATATCAATGTTCTTAACGATTTTAAAATTTTCTTTGAGTTAAAATTAAGTCGTGTTGAGACTAATAATTGTGTAGAGCGATTATTATCTAAGTATGAAAAAGATATTGAGCCAGAATATTTCACTGATGAGTTAACTCATTTTCTAAAATACATACAAGAAGAAAATATTAGAGATCCACATGAAATGTATGCAACATTAAGTAATGGTCTAAAATCAACTTTTCCAAATATACACACAATACTGCAAATTTTTTTGACCTTGCCCGTTTCTAATGCAAGTGGAGAAAGGACATTATCAGTTTTAAAACGAGTCAATAACTATCTGCGCAATAGTCTTTCACAAGAGCACTTAAATGACCTGGCATTAATGTTCATAGAAAATGAATGAGTTTTTTAAAAAACTAGAGTACGACAAAATTATTGAAATCTTTGCCCAAGAGAAGGCAAGAAAAGTAAATTTGTAATTTGTATTTAAATTTGTATTGTCTTTTATTTTATTGTGGTATTATTAGAATATATTTTTAAATTTAGGATTTAGGGGCCCCAAACCTGATTTGCGCCTAGGGCCTCACTGAAGCATAATCCGCCACTGAATGTAGGTATATTTTTGAATGAAATTGTTTTGGTTGGAAAACCTTTTGAACTTGCAGATTTCCTGTAGGCAGCTTCGCATTTTTTGTATTTTCTTCTAGTTCGTCTATGCGGCTTCTGATAACCTCGAAATTTTCAAAGGTGTTCTCTTGTTCTTCCATTTCCAGCTTGGTGTCACGGTTTTTACTCTTCTTTGATTTAACTTTATCATTTTTGCTAATTTCTTACATCAGGTGAAGACTAAGTAAATGTTCATTTATTAAAGAAATGTTTTTTACCTGTTGCAGATCATCGTATCGATTTTTCGGCATTTCTGTGTGGTTCACTCACACCAGGTGTGTCACATAGGTATCGTTCCACCTCCTACATTCAACCGCAACTGAGGTACCACTCCATAACTGTTAAACAAACACCTGAGGTAAGTCAGTCAACACTGATAAAGCGATAACAAGTCAAGGACTTTTAATATGATAAAAAAAATTAAATTAAGAGAAAGGAAAGTAGGTTACATTATTGGTTATGTTGCCAAATATTGGTGAATTGTCATTATTTAATTAACAAACATACAATTTATATGACTTCTCGAATAATGACATTTAATTATATTCGGATTTATATGTATTTCTATTCAGATTAGATGTTTTATATCCTACCTTCTTTTCTGATCCTTAACACCTCATTGGAGTGCGCATTTTGCTTTTTTTGTAATACTAACAACGTTCCATGGTAAATCAAGAAATCCCAAATTGTAAACTTTTTTTATCACATAAACAGCTTTCTAGAATCGATAAATTGTTTGTCTGTAGCTTTTGTAATTTGCGGGGAAATCGCATCGGATAATTATTTTTCAGTAGGTAACTTCAAAATACGAATTTTAAAATTTGCTATTTTATTTTAATTTTCTTTATTTTATTGTGCAATCAACTCCATTTTTGCATTTAGATCATCTTTAGTAGATTTCGAGATAATGGGAAATAAACTATCGTTGGAAGTTGACTTTCCACTTAAATACATGTACCTACAGAGCAATTCTTAACTACTATTAAGTAGAAGATGGTATGGTCGAAAGTAGCAGCCCAGAAAATAAACAATCTACCAAAATAAGGAACATGGCACCTGAACCAATAAGTATGCAGACAATATTAGAGGAAATGAGGAATATGAATGAGAAAATGAACCAAAGACTTGATAAGAACAAGGACGAAATGAAACAATGTATGTACGAAGGTTTCGAACAACAAAGGCAGGAAATAAACGTCCTCAAACAGGAAATAAAAGAAATAAAGGAAATCAACAAGATGAAAGAGGAAGAATGGAAAAACGAAAAGGAACAAATAATGGAACACGTAGCCAAGCTGGAAAACCAAATAGAATACCTAGAGAAGAAAGAAAAAAGGAATAACATAGTTATAAAAAATATGCAGATCAAGAATGGCAACGTGAAGGAAGAAGTTGGAAAATTCATTAAAGAGTACATAGGGGTAGACGCTAATATAACCGAGGCGGAGAGGATTAATTATAGAACAATAAAAGCTAAGATACAGGATGCAGAGCAGAAGGAGATAATAATGAAGGCCAAGAGCAAGCTAAAGGACACAAAAATATTTATAGAGAGTGAGCTCACCAGAAATGAAATGAGCATTCAAAAACAGTTATATGAAAGGGCTAAAGATGAGAGAGAGAAAGGAGCGACAGTTAAAATAGGATACAAAAGATTATCCATAAATGGAAGAATGATAAAATGGGAAGAAATGCAACAACAGAGGGCCAATCCAAAAAACCAAATAGCAGGAACACAATAAACAAGACAACAAATCGTAGAGGATGGAGACGACGCAAGGAAATAATAACAATTGGAACATGGAACATACGAACGCTATTACAAGTAGGAAAGATGAACGAAGTGGCAGATCAAGCAATAAAGAACAAAATAGACATAACAGCTCTACAAGAGGTCAGATGGAAAGGAGAAGGTGAAGTTACCAACCAAAATTATACACTATTCTACTCCGGAGGAAATAAGCAAGGAAAAATGGAGTCGGTTTCATCGTGACAAACAAATTCAGAAAACATATCATAGAACATAAAGCACATAGCGATAGGATATCATATATACGAATAAAAATGGCAACATACAACGTAACATTAGTAAATGTTTATGCCCCACCCGAAACCACCAATAACGAAGAGAAAGAGCAATGGTACGAAAAATTAGAAGAGGTATATGAACAAATCAACAACCGAGACACAATAATAATAGCAGGGGACTACAATGCGCAAGTAGGTAAAGAGGAGTGCAACAGTAAGGTTGCAGGAAAATTTACAATTCACGAGAAAACCAACGATAATGGAACAAGACTTTGTAACTTTGCAGCAAGCAATGGATTCATTATCGCCAGCACAAAATTCAACCATAAGCATGAAGATAAAGTAACATGGAACGCCCCAGGAGGAAGATATAGTACTCAAATCGATCACATTTTAATAAGAGAAGATAGACAAAGCCTAATAGAAGATGTATATACAGAGAAGGCGGCAAATGTGGAAACAGACCACTTCATGGTGGTGGCGAAAGTACGTATAAAGAAAACAAACCAAAACAAGAAGCAAAGTAAGAAAGCTAGATGGAGTATAGACAAACTGAAACAAGAGGAGGTACGAGCCAAATATGAAGAGGAAATGGAAAAAGAACTTGAAAGTCAGGAAAGTGGCATGGAAGTAAGGGAGAAATGGATGAAACTTAAAGCATGTCTAAACAAAACAGCGCAAAACGTATTGGGTACGGAACAGAAGCAGAAGCAGACACAATGGTGGAATGAGAAATGCAAGGAATTAGTAAGAAGAAAAACCGAAGCAAGAGACAAATATATGAAGACTGGAGATGACAATGACAAAGAGAACTATAGGAAGGCGAGGAATGAAGCAAACCACGGAATAAGGGAGGTGAAGAATCAATGGATGAACCATAAGTTACAAACCGCTGAAAATCAGATGAAGAACAATAATACCAGAAAATTCTACCAAGACATTAAGAAAATGAATACCATAAAAAGCACCAGGCAAACTACAAAGATGAAGAACAAGCACGGAAAACAGCAGAAACCGAGGAAGAAGAAAAGCAAATATGGGAAGAATACTTCAAGACAATCCTGACTGAAGACAAGACTCAAAGAAGAAATCTGGGAGTGGGACAAGAAGAAGAAAGGTGTGAAAGAAATGAGCAAATATCAATAGCCGAGCAAGATATAAAAGAAATAATAAAGAAACTGAAGAATGGGAAGACACCTGGACCCGATGGAATAAACAATGAACTAATAAAGTATGGAGGAAATCGAGTGGTCAAAGAAATACACGAGTTAATAAATCAGATATGGGATATGGAACATGTACCGGAAGAATGGGGTATAGGAGCAATATATCCAATTCACAAAAAGGAGATAAACAGATATGTGACAACTATAGGGCATCACCCTGCTCAACTCCACATACAAGATGCTGACCACAACCATACACAACAAACTAATGGAAAACATCACAATACCTGAATATCAAAATGGGTTTGCGAAAGGAAAATCTACCATAGATGCTATACACATGATGAAACAGATTCTACAAAACAACTGAGCATAACCAGAAAGTGATAATCATCTTCATAGATTTTAAAAAGCCTTTGACTCAATAAACCGACAACAACTAATGGGAATTATACACTCGCTCGAGATACCAACAAAGGTAAAGGCAATGATCAACGTTGTCACTGAGAAAACAACAACATCAGTAATTACGAGAAGCGGACAGACAAGGGAATTCGAAACAAATATAGGGATAAGGCAAGGAGACATACTATCAGCAACATTGTTCACAATAGTAATCGAGCACATACTCAGAAATATACAAAGAAAAGGAACATTAAGAAACAAACCACTACAAATAATTGCATATGCTGATGACATTACAGTGATAGCCAAACAAAAGTATCTGCTTGAAGAAACAATGAGGGAAATTATGGAAGAAGGAAGAAAAATTGGACTATACATAAATACGGAAAAGACAAAGGTTATGATCACAGGAGACGATGAAACAAGTTCAATTAAGATAGGAAACCATATGTACGAGTGCGTAAAACATTTAAATACCTAGGAGTCACCATCAACAAGAAAGGTACAAACACCGACGAAATAGCGGAGAAAATTCAAGCTGCACATAGAGCCTACTATGTCAATAGAAAGTCACTAACAAACAAGACGCTGAGAAGAAAAACAAAACTGGGGATATATAAGACTATTATAAGACCAATTCTGATGTATGCAGCAGAAACACTCACGTTAACAAAACAAGATCGAAACAAAATAGAAATTGCAGAACGAGCAATATTAAGAAAACTTACAGGACCGAACAAAATGGATGATGGCACAATTAGAAGAAAAACCAACCAGGAATTGGAAGATGTAATGGAAGGTGAAAATATCATAAGAAAAATCAAGAAACAGAGACTAAGATGGGCCGGCCATATCATGAGGATGGATCCAGACACAATACTAAGGCAATTAACTGATTGGCAACCAACATCCAACAGGAAGAGAGGAAGACCTCGAGAAAACTGGTTACAGCAAGTCGAAGACGATCTAAAACACCTAGGAATAACGGAGTGGAAAAAGAAAGCAAGAAACAGAAGAAAATGGAGAGAAATTATAAAGCAAATATAGAATACGGTTGATCCGCCGAATAAGGATCTATAAATCTTGAAATTAAGATGGCAATGCCCACGAATGGGCGGGAATGCCTAATATATATATGAGTTTAGATTTATCAAACAATAACTTAACAAGCATTTCAAATGAGTTGTTTACTGCTAATATAAATATTCAATATTTGAATTTGTCTAATAGCCAGATAAAACACATTGTTCCCAATGCATTTATATATCTTTCGAAATTAGAAGTTCTCGATTTGTCAATGAATATGTTATTAAATGTACACCAAAACAATTTACTAAATTTAAAGGATACCAGTTATATCTTTCACAATTTATCAGCACTACATACATTAATTTTATTTGTTAATAATATATCAAATTTTGATAATGCATTAGGTTATCTTCCATCATTGCACAAACTCGATTTATCACATCAAAATTTAAGCAGTATATCGAACAAAATGTTTCCGGAAATCAGTGCAATAAAATACCTAAATATATCAAACAATCAAATCAATCAAATATATCCGAATACATTTGTAAATATGCAAAATTTAGAACATTTAGATTTGTCACACAACCAAATAAAAAACATGCACATTGCATCTTTGCATGGGTTACTTGTTTTACAATCCTTAAATCTAAGTTATAATCATTATACGGTTGATAAATATTTAATATTTAATACACCTAAATTATCATTCTTGGATATCAGTTACAATAATTTAAGTGACATTGATGAAACATTATTTAAAGGATCGCATTTGAGCTCAATTAATATCGATGGAATGCCACTAAGTTGCATAAGATTAGTCGAAATAGTCAAATATTTTAAAACATTAAATATTAATTGTGTTGCTGGAAAAGAAAAAAATCGTTTACATCTATTTGGAATGCATTGTAATCATTCCGATGTAATAGAATCCACTACAATGCAAAACGTTATCGAATCTACCAACATACCAAATTCTGATATTCAATTGTCTAATAATAAGATTCTAGCAGAAATGTTAAACGTATTAAATCGTAACAATGATATAAACTTAAATGCAAATCTTACTCAAGGAGTTAATATTCAGTTGTCTAATAATAATAATATACTATCAGAAGTGTTAAACGTATTAAAACATATCAATGATAAAAACGTAAATGCTAATCCTACTCAAGAAGTTAATATTCAATTGTTTAATATTAGTAATATATTATCAAAAATGTTAGATTCTACTCAAGTTCACGATATGCAGGAAAAATCAGATATAACTACACATATTCTGTTAATATTACTTATTATGTGTCTTATATTTATGTTTATTTTCTACATCTGGCGTACATATTTTGTTAATTCCAATCAATATGTGCCAACTGAAAATCTGATCACTGACTTTGAATTATCTAATAGATAATTTGCTTATAACTAAACAAAACTATCAAATCAATATTGTAATGTAAAATATCATTAAGTTTATAATTGTAATAATTAGTTATAAGTTATTGTATAAGTATATCTATTACTATGTATACAAACCCCAAAACAAACTGCCAATGGGCATTTGGTCATCTTTAATATGGTAATAATTAGCTTTTAATAAATGCGTAATATTTACAATAATTTTCTTTTACAGTCAGAATACTGTCATTACCACCGAGGACATCAATATCAATCATCATTAGCGAATCTTCAAAAGATTTCACTGATATATAATGGTAATACATTTTATTCTTAATTAAAATATTATTTTTATAAGCATTAGTTTCATCTTGGTTAAATTTTAGGGATTGACGGCAATTTTAGGAGATTTTCTACAACAACTTTCGATGTTTGTCAGCTTCCAGACAATTCATCTATATTCACATTCAGAATTATATCAAATCGCTTCGCAACGCGTCGCATTCCTGGAATTCCCGGTACCTCCGATGTCGTCGCTGGTCCCATGCCACAACGTTGCTTTGGAGTTGTTATCATAAGCATCGCTGCCTGAAGACAAGGTGAATTAAAGTCGACTTTGACTTCCTATTGGGCTATACTCGTACATGACAAAGAAAGTTTCTACAATGTTCATACCTGAAAATCTTTCAGATGTTCATTAAAATAGAAATCAAAAGTTGCAGATTTCTAAAAGTACTAAAATAGAATTTGTTAAAAAATCGCATCTGCTATGAAATAACAATAATGAAAGTAATGAAATAACAGCAATTCGGAGTTTCTGATACTATAAGAAACATATAAATACTGTTTTCTATCGTTTTACAAACCTTGCTCTATTAGTAATAACTTTTGGTAGGCATTCCAAGCTACCTATTCAAGGAGGTTTATAAAGTCAAACTTTAGAATGTAAAGCGTGTCATCTTCTACCATAGAAAAACAAGAAACGATAATTTATTAATTTCTGGCTAATGATAAATATCTGTTTCATATCAAAGAAATTTGTTTGTTTAAATTCATAAATAATATTATATAAATGCATATAAGTATTATAAGGTAATATATTATATATTAGAATCAACAATGTGACGTCATAAACTATAAATAAACGTCGTTTTCATAGTCTTTACAATAGTAATTAAGTACTATTTACAATATACTTACAATGCAGAAACGCAACAACAAAATATAATTCAATTTACAGTAACACGTAATTGTAAGTTTTAAGCAAGTGTTTGGCACTTCTCAGTCAGTCAATCAACTTATATTCTTTAACAATAAACAATTTTCTTATCTTAAATACAAACACGATATGATTCTTAATCCAACGTGATTTCTAGCCGCTTGTAGATGCACAAGAGGCACCATGTAGGACACACTCGTCGCCATCTTGAATACAATCAGAATTCTTACGATTATCATCGCCAGCAATCAATAAATTCGAATTAACGCGGATAAATGATCCTAGTTCCTTGCGGCGGTGTCATTTTGGTGTGCGTCGCACACAGTTCTTCAAATAATCAGAAACCGCCGCGTGTTTGTTATTCAGTGCTAACTCTGCAGGCTGAAAACCTTCCTGATTCTTCAGAAAAGGATCAGCTCCAGCAGCAACGAGTTGTTTGCACACTGGTAGGCAACCCACAAGCGCCGCAGCATGAAGAGCACTTTCACCATTCTACAAAAATGAAAAAATTGTAAAAAATGAACATTTAATCATTCATGACTTACTGGCAGGAGTCCAAGCGATGGTCGATACTTTAACAAAGCGCCGACCACTTGAGAATGTCCTTTGTGGGCTGCCTTGAAGAGAGGCGTAGCTCCATCCTGGGAAACAAATGTTGTGTTATCAAGTATCTAATTGCTTCAATTTTTAATCGACTTACATGTCTAGCGGAATCAACTCGTGCGCCAGCTTTCAACAGTTGCGAAACGATATGATCGTGACCCATTTGGGCGGCTATCCATAATGGCGTCGCTCCATCAGTACGTCGGGAATCAGGCGCGGCTCCTCGCGCCAACAGGAACAGCAGAATTTTGTAATGCCCATTCTGTGCCGCTATAAATAACGGTGTGGCTCTGTCCTAAAACATTGAGAATCTATAAGTATTCATCAGATGATATTGATTGAATAGATAACTGTACAATATTCAAATGACTTCAATTTGAATTAATTTAAATTTTCAAATATGTTGACTTCAAATTCGTCACATTTAAGTGTAACTAAACTGGTAATTACTTCCTTTCTATGTCTAATGTGATTCCGTTCGCATTTTCGCGAAACTTTCTATTGTTGCGGTTTGACATGGTGAACGCAATTCAATTGTTTATGACTTACGCGGTTCCGTTTCAATGTCTCTAATCTCTAATCGATTTGCACTTGAATGAGTCCTACTCACTTTCATGTGGGCATTCACTTGCGCGCCGCGGTCCACCAGCTCCTTGACGACGTCCATGTGTCCGCATTGGCACGCGACGAAGAGCGGACTTCCGCCGTCCTGCAAACCAACACAACAGCGCTGAGTTAAGAGGAAATATTCAGGTTTCTGGAGCAAGCACACTTACGACGCTCAGCGAGTCGACAGGTGCATCATTCTCAAGCAGCAGTTGCACGATGTCCAAGAATCCGCCCTGCGCGGCAAAAGAATAATGCTGTTGTCCCTGTCTGCGAAACAAAAGGATTTAGTATACTGTACATATCATTATAAACTTTCTTCGCGTCTTGTTTTGTTTTGTCTGAGTGAAACATGCGGCAATTCATTTGTTTTATTGTTTTGTTTTCTCTTTGTGTGTTAGTTATAAATTCAAAGCGTTTTGTTAAAGTTTGCGCTTCGTTTGGCGCCTGCCTGGGTTTTGAAGTGAACGGTTCGTTTCTCGTTTTGTTACGCGTTGAATTTACGCAGGCCTGCTTTGCACGTACCACTCTTCGCGCGGCCGCATCGGAGCCTTGTTCCAGTAACTCTTTGACACATTCGTAATGACCATTAGCGGCGGCCAAGATTAACGGCGTCGTGTTCTCCTAGAATTAAAATAGAAAGATTACAAACACGTAAAAAGAGACTATGAAATGGTTACTAGTAAAAATAAAATAAATAAAACTGCAGGTAAATGCATGAATTACAGGTTGGGGTAATTAGCGCCATTGAGCCTGCGAGTTGAAGAATTACTGCTAATTTGTTGCTATAATTCTTGTCGTACGTTAACAACCGTTTGTTAGCGCTAAATTACAGACACGCAGTTACACACAGAAGTTTAAGAAAAATAATTTTACAAACTTTTTATAATTTTAATAATAATTTTAGAATAATTGCAAATAATTTTCAAAATAAAAATTTCTACTTTTGCCCGCAACTTAAAAAAATAAGAATTGCTAATTATACACTTTAGCACCATCTTGCATTTAATCATTTACCTATAATCTATCTATAATATAAAAATAAATCGCAAAATCTGTTGGTAAGCGCAACAGAGTTCTTTATTTATTATAATGTCTTCTTCTTTATTATAATGTTGGTTTAAGTCCAAATATTGTTTTTACGGTGAGAAAAATTCGAATGATTGCCGGGAAAACCCTAAAGACAGCCCTTTTCTAAAAGATAAAAGTTGGCATTGAGATTGAATCATAGTTATAGTTAAATAGTTGAATCCGAGATGGCGCGCTGAAGTGCATGATTAGCAATTCTTTATATAATTAATTTGTTTAACATAAAATTGCGAATCTTATTGATAGAATTGAGACATACTATGTCTTGAACAAGAGAATAAAAACGAATTACATTTTTATTAAACACTACCGAAACGAAGTCGCGGACAAAAGCTAGTTATGAAATAATTTCCATAGCAAATTTTTACCCCTTATTTAACCCCCTTTAAATCATAATTTTGTACATTTTGGTAGTTATTCTGCTATTCCAAGTGGAGATAAATCCAACAAATCATAAATAAATAAAATCTGTCAAGTCGTTTTTGACTTATAAACGTTGTAACTAACACAACTTTGTTTTATAGACACAGATATAATATAAAAATAATGTTCTAAAAGAATTGATTCAGTTTATTAATTATTTATTTATTTATTTATTTGAAAGGAAATTGCACAAGAATCAACAATTTCCTATAAATATTTATATTTAAGGCGCACGAGTAATTTTAATGGCACATTTAAAATGTACAGTGAACGGAAAAATCTCGATAAACTCTTTTAATTCTCTGCGCTCCGATTGTTGTTTCGGTTGTTGGCCCCCTGAATGCAATTTTATTCACTTGCAACGCATTGCATTTCACTGCTATTCGTGTTTATTTTTTTATCTATTCATTGTGCGTTGCAGAGCGTTTATTCCTGTACTTGGTGCAATGTTCAGTTGCGTTAAAAATGCATTACAAGAATAACTGCATAAAATTAGTTATTGTTTCATAATACATTTATGTCAAAATGTATTCTCGACTAGTAGTTATAAATAATTATTTTTAACAAAAATTGCATTTTTTATATGTATTTTGTAATTTACAATTGCCAATATGATAGAAAATGCTTTAATTTTGTTGTATTATTGATTAAAAGTTATTTTTAGAACTATTCACCAACCTTATCACGGGAATCCACGTGGACTTTCCCGCTGTCGATTATTTTCCTAATTGTGAGAAGATCGCCCTTCATTGCTGCCAAATGCAACTGAATGTCCGATGGAGATTCTTTCTGAAAAAGAAAATTTCAATATATTTTCACATATATAACCTATATTCACGTACATAACCTAAATATTTCACGTGTAAGTACTACCACGCCATCTTTTAATGAATTTAGTCTTTAATATTGCGAATAGCTAATGACTAGCATAGAATAGAACGTGTCTGACCTTTTCCATTCAGTTTAACATTCTCTCTATTTTGTTTTCCACTTGCATTTCACCTTCGAAATGTTACCGTCGACGTTACATCATTTTAATGCAAATGCGAGCTAGTGAACAAACACGGTAACACTCGTTAACATGAAACTGTACTCCAAACTTCATTTAAAACAATTATGAAAAAAACCAATGGGAAAATCATACATTTGAAATTTTATGATGTGCAGTAAAATGTTTGCGTCATATATTTTTAACAACCAAATAAAAATGGAAAAATTAGGAAGTGGATGAATGTCAAATGCGTAATTTCTTGTTAAAAACCTGCGCAAAATCAATATTAACATTTTTTGCATTTTTTGCTTAAAAAATTGATCAATTAACTTGTCCAAAATATAAACAATGTGTTTTTGTTTTGACTCGAGTTTATTTTCGGCGCAATTGTCGCAAATCACAACGCTAAACGTTTTAACTCCAAAATAAACACGTTAAATATGCACAGATAATATTTAAATGTGCTCAGCAACACCACACAAATATTTTTGCTTCACGACAATACCGGCTTTTCAAACCAAACGAGTTTTGTACCAATAAAAATTTAACTAACTGTTTAATATGAATCTATTAATATCTTACCTTCAAAGACATTTTTATTTATATTCTACGCTCAATAACCATATAACTTTCCACGATAATATTAATTATTCACAATTCACAATGTTTACTATTGCAATGTAGAACTATTGCGTTGTTTACTTTGTGTTCACACACCGCTACACGTTTTTCGCACGTTGTGTAATTAATTATCTAACATCTCTCACATCTCGAAGAGCAAACGAGCTCAACATCTCAGTCACGAATGAAATCGTGTTACACTTTTGGCCGGCAGGCCAGCAGGATTCCGCCGCTCTAGGATACGCACACACGCCGCGCCGCGAGCCCGGAGTAAATATTATCGAGCGCGCACGGCGCGGCACTTTCCTGCCGTTTACTACTTTCTGTTGGTGCGCATGCTCCTCTTGCTCCTCCTGCTGCTTCATCATATCTGTACAATATAACATGCAAGAAGTCTAAGAGCGCGCATCACAACCACGCATTCTATCTCTTCTTAGGAGATTTTGTATATGCTTAGCAGCGCAACTTTTGTATCGTTTAGCAATGTGCTGATGTTCTGTGCTATAAAAAGAACATGACCTGATCGAATCACCGAACGCATCGAACAGCAATTAACACACTTATCGATTCCGCATTGTGTGTGGTGTGCGTTTACATGATTTAATTTGATTCGAGTGTGATGATGTGTTTAATTTTAGAACTGGGTTAATGGCGACTAGTACAATGCAACACAATTACAGATAAACGCTTATAAGTGGACATTAAATGTAATATTCTAACAAGTTAAATTTTGTTATTCAATAAATTCAATTCTTACCATAAATCTACAATAAATTTCAAATATTTCATGTATTTGTGATTGCATATGTTAAATTTGTGTAACGAGCGCTGCTAGCGCTGAAGTTGTCAAACGTCAAACGGAATTTCTCGTAACTTCCTTTTCACGTCTGCCATTTTGCGCGTGGTTCCTCGTGTGGTTAAACCCGAGAAAAAGTAAGTTTACCGCCATCCAAACACTCAAAACAAATGTGAAATTAATTATAAATTGTTTCTTTCAGCATATAAATTCATTCACAATGGAGAACGATAACCGTGAATTCGTCGACTTGTACTGCCCGAGGAAGTGGTATGTTGATGCACGCTTACACGTGTTTAACCACAAAATGCCTGTGTAGTTTTTAATAAAACCGTGATTTTTAGCTCGGCAAGTAACAGAATCATCCACGCCAAGGATCACGCTTCCATTCAGATCAGTCTGGTGGAGGTGAACCCTACCACTGGTTGCATGACTGACAAAACAAAGAGTTATGCACTCTGTGGGGCCATCCGTAGGATGGGTGAATCTGATGATTGTATTGTAAGGCTAACCAAGAAGGATGGTATTCTGTCAAAGTAAGATTATTCAAAATGTGTTTGGTTGTGTGTATTTATTATGTTTTATCATTTCAGGAACTACTAGATTTGTTCAGGCATACATTATTTGTAATAATAAGTCATGTTTAAATAAATCTTTTCTTATAATATGAGTAAAATCGTTCTTATTGCATATTAATCCTGAAATATTAATCTTCGTCGATAGATTTGAACCTTTCAATTTTTGACACCTTCATTGTAATGGCGCTCAGATAACCTTGGAATACCCAAAACAGTTCTCCAAGCAAAACATCTCCAAACAGTCAAAATATAAATAATTTATTTATAAGCTACATTACTAAGTGCTAGACATTAAAAATGAGTTTTTCCCACTTATGTAATCATTATGACTGCTGCTAAAAGGTAAGTTTTGTCTCAAAAAATGGTTTTTACAGAGTTAACCTCAAAAGTGTTTGTTTACATTTCTGTTCCATCAGCAATCGCAATCAACAATGTAAAAAATGGGAAAAGGAGAGGCGAGACCGCCTCAACGAGTCGTTCAACAGCCTCGCTAAACTTCTACCCTGCTATGAACCTTCTAGCAACATTTCAAAGATTGATATTCTTATCAAATCAGCTGAGTACATTTCAAAACTAAAAGCTAAGACTTGTGATAATAGTGATAAAGTTAAAAGTAAGTTTATATCTAAAAGAAGCATCTATATACAATTTTATAATTTGTATGTTTTGTTCTAGATGATGAAATTAAAGAATTGAATGTGAGGATTGTTTATTTAACTACTAGAAATGAACAACTTGCAAATTTACTCAAAGATGCAAATATTAGCATACCAAGTGAATGTGGAGGGCAGATTAGTGATAAGACCAAGAAGTGGTCTGGAAAGATTACTCCACAAAAGGCTGATGAGATCAACAAGTCTAAAATTGAAAGTAAGCTTTATAAGTTTAAAATGTTTACATTATTTACAAAAATATACAATTTTTAGAGGAAAATAAGTCTGCAGTTTCCAATAAAAAGAAACCTAATGTAACAGGAAGAGTTAAATCCATTAAATTAGAAGAAAAGAAGAAAAAGGTGAAACGAAAATCTAACAATGCAAAAATATCAACTGCAAATACAAGTGTTACAAGTATAAGTCCGATTAGTCGTGCGTGTTCAACGTTAACCATCACAAATGTTCAACCAGTACAGCCATATTATATTATTGCGAATAATATAGCATCAACCATTACAACTCAGGCAACCACTGGTAAGTTATTTTTCTCTTTATTTTGCGCAGAAAATCAACTTTTGCATTATCGTTTTCGTTTCTGGAATATAATATTACATTTTGGTGATATTTTTACAGTCAAAAATGTGATTACTACTCCCATTTTGTCAACGACAAATCAACCAAACAAAACTTTCCTCCTACCTGTTGTCCAACCTAATACTTTACTAAATCAATCATTATTCATAAACCCCACGCCAAGCAATACAGTATATCTGGTTAAAAAAGCTGATCAATCTTTATCTACTCCAACTAGTGTCAAAACTAACACTAAACTAGGTGGTAAACAGAAAAAGTTGGCTCTATTGCGTCCAAAGCGTAGATTAGGGAATAAAATCCAACTTCCATCGACGAAGTTTGATAGTTTAGTGCTCTGGTCGAGTTCCCCACAAGTCACAGTTAAGAAACGAACGAAAGTAAAAGCGAACAATAAAAGAAAGATTACAAAACCCGTTAATGAGAATAAAAACGATAATACCGATAACAGTAATGCCAAAAGCATTAAAAAACCGAAGTTGAGTGAAGATATTGATGCAGACAATCAAGATAATTCAAAAAAACAAAGCTCGGATTATTCAATCAACGCCATATGCAAAGAAAACGAGAGTCCTACCAGTAAAGATATAGAAAAAGTTATAAACGAAGTGGTTGAGAAGGCAAATCCTCTAGATAAAGACTTAAAACAAATTGATCAAGTACAATCAAATCAAACGCCTGTGGTTTCAACGAAAACAAAAGAACAGTCTGACATTACAAAAGAATTACACAAACAAATCATCACTAAAGACAATTCAGTCAATATAAGCAATCAGGAGGTGGTTCAAAGTTTACCACAAAATGGCGATGTGAACATGCAAACAATGCAAAACACAAATCAAATGTTACACTCAAACCACCACACACAGCAAGACTTACACCATTTACATTCAGAATTATCTAACGATATATTTGCCTCTCTGCAAGTCCAAGGCAGTCAGAATCCCGAATCAACATCACCTACGGCTGCATTCTTGAATGCGTTTCCTTTAGTGTCTTCATTTACAGGTGTAAAAGTCACAGAGGTGCTTGAAGAGGAGACTACAGATAGTCCACATGGCACACCAACTCTTTTACAAATCGGTAACATGGAAGCCACGCAAAAATTACAAACACCCGCTGATAACTTAACACCAAGTATTATCAACCTTGATAACTTTAGTTTTTCAATAACAATCTGTATAATAATTTTGATAACATGATTACCTCCATGGCCACCACTGCAACTACTGCGAATACAATTGTAACCACAGTTAGTAAATCATCAAAGATAGTTACAAGCAAAATTGATAAAGTCATGTACGATAACACACAATGCACGAATATGATACCACCAGTTAGTAATAACGATGCTAAACATTATAGGAATTCAGTTAAGAAACAGCATGTGAAGACTTCAAGTAGTGTTCCGAATGTTTATAACAGTGTGGCGAGTGTTGCCACAACAATAGCGCAGCCATTTTATGATAATAGTCAGGGTAATTCATCTCGTGCTGTTGTATCATCCGGAATCAATTTTAACTCGACTACAAATCGGTACAATGAGTATAATACGTTCAATCCGTTTGAATTGCCGAAAACTACGCAGTCATTTGTGAAAAGTTATAATGAATCGTCTTATGTGAATAATAATTGTAACTATAGTTATCAATCCAGCGATTATAACTATCAGATTGGTAAGAATAACTATTACGATGGGAATAATTGTAATTTTTATAACAATACTAATAGTAATACTGTTAATAACAATACAAATAACAATTTGGTGGCTCAAAATTCCAGCGGTGGTTCGAATAATGCTAAATTTAATAAGAAATCAAAAGAGGTTCCTAGTAAATCCATGGTTAACTGGATGGCGCCTGATTTTTCAACATCAGCAGCCAAAGTGACAAGTTATTCGGATATTGGACAGAATAATTACTTGAATACGAATGCTCTATATCCGAATGACTATCAGAATACTGTGCAATCTATTCCGGATCATCAATCACATCAGGAACATCAATTTGCTTGGTCGCCAACTAAATTACCGCAGTTATTAGACACTTCGCAATATTTAACACCAAGTACTCTTCCTACTTTAGTTGGAGACTTAGCTTTGGGTATTGGTTCATATTCAGGAACTACTCAAACACCTCAAAAAGCTAAACACACGAAAAAACAAACACAATATGAGCCGGGTAATATTCTTTCGGTTAGTCAACTTGTTGATCACACTCATCATAATAAAGATAATTCTGTGGCGACGGCGAGAATTACAAATCGTCGAAATAGTGGTAATGGCGGTAATAACAGGACTAAAACTTCAGCTGCTGCGAAAAGTGTAGCTAATAAAAGACACAAAGATAAAGAGAAAACACCAAAAGTGACGAATTATTCTGCTGAGAGTTTGATTGCTGCTAAACAACAGAATTATCCGAAAACAATACCAACATATTTGCCCGATAATATTTTACCGTATTTTCCGCATAATATTGATGAGAATTTCAGCCAGAACAATCAAACTTATCATCAGAATAATACATTCCCGACGAATTACAATAATAGTTTTATTCCGCCATCGACTAGTACGACTTATTTGCCCGCGAGTAATTTCATGCCTGATATGTTTGAGAATAATCCAATGGAGAACATTTTCTCGCATGTGAATCCCACGAAAAATGCCAATCTGGCTGGTAATACACATAATAATAAAAAGAGTCCAGCGAAAAACACGATAACCAATTCAAACATTACGAATATTGGTAATGTACCAAATGTGGGTAATGTTAATTTACCACCGGTTGTGGCCAATGTTGCTACAACATCAAAAAGTAAAAGCAAAAAGAAGGAGACGTTTGTGGACTTGAGTTTTCTGTCAATGCCGTCCATTAATTCTCCATTGCTGCAGGAGGATTTCCTTCCTAATTTTCTTCCTCCGCCTCCGAATTCTAATCAATTATATTCGTCCTGTAAGAATCCTGTTCCGGTTGCACCTGGAGTTCCTGGAATACCAACTGATAATACTATCAGGAGCCGAGCTATTCAACATCCGGAGATTTCACCAGCGCCTGGTTCATTGACCAACTTTAATTTATGTACAATTTTCCCAGAGATAAATCGGGTATGTTCTAATTTAATGTTTTAGTGAATGATTGTGGGAATAATATATGTTTTTTTTATTATTATTTCAGACTGCCAGTGTTGTTCCAGATGTGTTTAGAAACTACAGCAATAATTCAGGTCAAAAGAGTTCGAATTATTTGCCAAATCTTGAGTGAATTTGATGTTGAAAAAATGTAAATATTCATAATATACATCATACATGTACATAGTAGTTTTAAGTAATAATTGTGTAAATAGAATGAATTTTGTGCCCTTAAATGGTAAAATAAATCCTTTTATCATCTGGACGTATTCAATATTGAGTCATCTTAATTTGGTTTATAGCTAATATTTTCTATTTAAATGTTCCTTTGCACAATAAACGTTGTTGATTTCACGAAACGAATATTTGGTTGTCTACGAGTATATCATACAACAGAAGGAGTGATCGGAGTGGTCATGCCCTTCACGAAGTATAGATACACAGGAGACCGAACGTCATGTTAAACGAAACATGGTGTCGAAAACACCCTGTATCTCGAGAACTATTTGACTTTTTTGCAGTTTCTAGTCGCCATGTTAAAGTTCGAAAGTTTCTCTACTGGATGTATACCTTTTCAATCTTCTAGCCCTTCCGGAAGTGCCCTAAAATGCTCTTTAAAAATTGACATTTTTCAAAAAAATTGAAAAAATGGTTTGGAAAGTACCCTGTATCTCAAGAACTATTTGACTTTTTTATAGTTTCTTATCGCCATGTTAAAGTTCGATAGCCTCTCTGCAGGATGCACACCTTTTCAATCCTTTAGCCCTTGCGGAAGTGTCCTAAAATGCCCCAGAAAAATTGGCATTTTTGAAGAAAATTGAAAACATGGTGTGGAAAACACCCTGTATCTCAAGAACTATTTGACTTTTTGTAGTTTCTTATCGCCACGTTAAAGTTCGAAAGTCTCTCTACAGGATGCATACCTCTTTAATCTTTTAGTCCTTCCGGAAGTGCCCTAAAATGCCCTTTAAAAATTGACATTTATCAAAAAAATTGAAAACATGGTTTGGAAAATACCCTGTATCTCGAGAACTATTTGACTTTTTTATAGTTTCTTATAGCCATGTTAAAGTTCGAAAGTCCTCTACATTATGCATGTCTTTTCAATCTTCTAGCCCTTCTGAAAGAGCCCTAAAATGCCCTTTAAAAATTGATGTTTTTCAAAAAAATTGAAAACATGGTGTGGAAAACACCTTGTATCTCAAGAACTATTTGACTTTTCTGAAGTTTCTTACCGCCATGGTAAAGTTCGAGAGTTTTTCTACCCGATTCATATCTTTTCAACCTCCTAACCCTTCCAGAAGTGTCCTAAAAAGCACTTCAAAAATAGCTATTTTTGTCCTAAAAATTTCAGTTTTTGGTCGAATAACAGGGTCGAACTTTTTTGTTTAATTTTTTTTGGCTGAAGAACAGGGCCGAATTTAAAAAAAAAATTGTTTGGTCAAAGAAAAAGTTTGAATTTTTTAGTCGAATAACAGGGTTGAACTTTGTTCTAAATTATTTTTTTACTTGAACAACAGAGTCGAACTTTTTTCGATAAATTTATCTGTCGAAACATTAAATTAAAAAGTTGGAATTTTGAATTCCTGAATGATAAAACAGTATTTTGTTTTTAATTTAATATAAGTTATTAATTATGAAAAAAATGGCGGAGGCGCCGGACATTTAAAACAGTTGTTTAATTAATTATTGAGAGCTACCTCATTGTGTAGGGGGGCTTTTAATGATAAAATTTAAACAACTTTTCTCCTATTAATAGTAAGGCCTTTTTCCTGCAAATCTCATTAAGTGAAATGTGCACTCCCATCGAGACTAAAGAATCAATTATCTCAGGAACTAATAGAGATAAACAAAAAACCAAAAACACCCCGATGTACAGCATCAAATCCTAGATAAGATAACATTTTAAAAATTTTAAATATAACATGTGTCTAAAAAAATTTCCACCGCAATTTTCTCGGAAAATAATAAAGATAGAAAAGAACTTTCTTCATTTTGTTCATGCCGTGATATGGATCTATAAAATGGCAGATTTAGTTTTTCCATTTTCCAAAGTTTACAAAAACATCTCAAAAAGAGTCAAGAGGTTACACTTGACTCTTTTTGGACTCAAAAAAATTTTTTTAAGCTAGAAGAAAATGGAAAACGCTAATCGATTGAGTTTTCTAAGGGGATGAAAGATATCAAGTCAGTTTTCCGATAACATCATTATTTCGGATAATTAATGGTAAATTCAAAACTGATCAAATAAAACCAAAGTTAAACCAAAATAAAAGTTTTTTGCACTCATCTTGAAAACCATTAGAGATAGAGAAAAACGGTTTTCATATTCGTATGTAGAATAAAATTTCATATTAAATTACATGTTAAAATTTTCACTTATCAACAATTATGTAATAATAAATAATCGTTAATAACTTAAAAACTAATTAAAATAGGGAAACCAAACCGGGATTAATGGAATCCTGTCTTACTTCAATTGGGAACGTTTAAGGAAAATCGGAGAGGTGGTTTTATTTGATTAGTTTTGAATTTACCACTAATTATCCGAAATAATAATGTTATCGGAAAACTGACTTGATATCTTTCATCCCCTTGGAAAACTCAATCGATTAGCGATTTCCATTTTCTTCTCTCTCTCTTTCTTCCTCTTGACTCTTTTTGAGGTGTTTTTGTAAACTTTGGAAAATGGAAAAACTAAATCTGCCATTTTATAGATCCATATCACGGCATGAACAAAATGAAGAAAGTTCTTTTCTATCTTTTATATTTTCCGAGAAAATTGCGGTGAAAAATTTTTTAGGAACATATTATATTTCAAATTTTTAAAATGTTATCTTATCTAGGATTTGATGCTGAACATCGGGGTGTTTTTGGTTTTTGTTTATCTCTATTAGTTCCTGAGATAATTGATTCTTTAGTCTCGATGGAAGTGCACATTTCACTTAATGAGATTTGCAGGAAAAGGCCTTACTACTAATAGAAGAAAAGTTGTTTAAATTTTGTCATTAAGAGCCCCTCTACACAATGAGGTAGCTCTCAATAATTAATTAAACAACTCTTTTAAATGTCAGGCGCCTCCGCCATATTTTTCGTAATTATTAACTTTTATTAAATTAAAAATAAATACTGTTTCATCAATCCATGAATTCAAAATTCCAAGTTTTTAATTTAATGTTTCGACAAGAATATTTAAAGAAAAAAGTTCGACTCTGTTGTTTAAACGAAAAAAAATTAAGAAAAAAGTTCAACCCTGTTATTCCACCAAAAAATTCAAACTTGTTCTTTGACCAACATTTTTTTTTTAATTCGGCCCTGTTCTTCGACCGAAAAAAAATGTAACAAAAAAGTTCGACCCTGTTATTCGACCAAAAACTGAAATTTTTGTGACAAAAATAGCTATTTTTGAAGTGCTTTTTAGGGCACTTCTGGAAGGGTTAGGAGGTTGAAAACTCTCGAACTTTACCATAGCGGTAAGAAAATTCTGAAAAGTCAAATAGTTCTCGAGAAACAGGGTGTTTTCCACACCATGTTTTCAATATTTTTGAAAAATGTCAATTTTTAAAGGGCATTTTAGGGCACTTCCAGAAGGGCTACAATATTGAAAAGACATGCATAATGTAGAGAGATTTTCGAACTTTAACATGGCGATAAGAAACTATAAAAAAGTCAAATAGTTCTTGAGATACAGGGTATTTTCCAATCCATGTTTTCAATTTTTTTGAAAAATGTCAATTTTTAAAGGGCATTTTAGGGCACTTCCGGAAGGACTGGAAAATTGAAAAGGTATGCATCCTGTAGAGAGACTTTTGAACTTTAACATAGCAATAAGAAACTACAAAAAAGTCGAATAGTTCTTGAGATACAGGGTATTTTCTACACCATGTTTTCAATTTTTTTCAAAAATGCCAATTTTTCTGGTGCATTTTAGGACACTTCCGCAAGGGCTAGAAGATTGAGAAAGTATGTATCGCATAGAGAGACTTACGAACTTTACCATGGCGATAAAAAACTACAAAAAGTCAAATAGTTCTCGAGATACAGGGTGTTTTCGACACCATGTTTTCAATTTGTTTGAAAAATGTCAATGGTTAAAAAGCATTTTAGGGCACTTCCGGAAGGGCTGGGAGATTAAAGAGAAATGCATCCTGTAGAGGCACTTTCGAACTTTAAGGTGGCAATAAGAAAGTACAAAAAAGTCAAATAGTTCTCAAAATACAGGGTATTTTCTACACCATGTTTTCAATATTGCCATTTTTTATGGGGCATTTTAGGACACTTCCGAAAGGGCTAGAAGATTGAAAAGGTATGCATCCTGCTGAGAGGCTCTCAAACTTTAACATAAGAAAGAACTAAGAAACTACAAAAATCAAATAGCTCTCGAGATACAGGGTGCTTTTGACACTATATTTTCAATGTTTTTTTTTTTATTTTATGATAAATCAACAGATATTAAGTAATATATAATCCATTACTATGTAGTATGTATGTTTAATGTCTTGTGTTCAAGTTAATAATGTAGTTTATTAAAATCTGTGTCCTTGCGAGGTATTACCTACATGCACACGGTTGCCTCGCTATTCAATTCTTTGAACGCCTACTAATCAATTGTGCGATTCAATAACATAAGTAAACGATTTCAAAGTGTACTCTTAATATACTTCCGAGATGTCGCTAGAATGTCTGTTTCGACTAAAAATATTCCCACGAGTTTATCCTATCGTTGTTGCCACGAAGTATAGATACAGAGGAGGCCGAACGGTATAGGCTTTTCCATAGTAGTCATGGTACCCAATTATAAACACAAATCATATTAATAAGCGAAGTAAAGTAAACACTTACTGAACGCTATACCCTCACAATATCGATATGAAAACGGGTGTGCTGATAAGTCCGCTAATGGTAGAAATAGCTATTCACATCAGGTTGACAAACACTTGCATTGATTTGCAATGGTTTTAAAAAAATATCGTTTTCATAACAATATTGTGAGGGTATAGCGTACAGTAAGTGTTCACTTTACTTCGCTTATTACACATCATAGTTCTCTTTTCTGCCACTGGCTGCGCATGATTTGAGAACGTATCAATGTACGCTAGTGTTTCTATACTTCGTGATTATTTATTTATTGTATCATGTTCCTAGGAATTTTTTCCGGCGATGTCCATAATAGCAACGTAAGAATTTAAACAAGTACGTACTAATAGAATAGTAGCGCGCTCTACCGGCGAGACCATTTGTTTAACATGACGTTCGGTCTCCTGTGTATCTATACTTCGTGCGCTTGAATGACCAGGGAAAGCGCACTTTAGGATTTTGGCAATAAAACGTCAGTCGCAGTCAAAGGCCTAGTGCGTTTAGTTGGTTTAGTCTCTTCTCTAATAGCAAAAAAAAACAAAGATCTTGTTCTCTTCAATGAATCTAACTCATCAACTTAATCCACAATCCCCATTCTCGGTTATGTTCGACAGTGAGTGATACGCTTGCGAACTTGTGTGCTTGTTTGCATTGTTCAATTCAACCTTTGCCTGCACGCACTTGCAATGTCCGTGTGGAGGCACTTCAACAAGATCGACGTTATCTCCGCGAAAGATGACTGCTTCCACGACCTCATCGAGGAGTGCAAACACCTGAAGCCCGGCTCTAGACTCTCCTATAATCTACGCAATAAGCTGGAAAAGTTCAGTGTTGAATGTCGTCGCGAGATCGTCAATCGCACCAAGTCAAACTGCGCGCCTCTCTTCATTGCATGCAAGGCCGGGCAATTGGAAATCGTCGAATACCTGGTGAAGGTGTGCCACGCCGATATCGAGCAGCAGGGTGTCTACGAGGTGCCCGAGTATGACAGGTATGCATGACTTCTCCAAATGGAATAACATTGAATATGTGATATAGTGGATTGATTTGAAGTGTTTTCAGGTCGACGCATGTCGTGACCCCGCTGTGGTGCTCTGCAGTGTCTGGTAAACTACCGATCGTCAAGTTTCTCCTGCAACAGGGTGCATGCATCAATGCCATCTCAGACACAGGCTCTACTCCAGTTCGATCAGCATGCTTCATGTCCCATCTGGATATTGTGCAGTATCTGGTTGAAAATGGTGCGGACATCAATAGATCCAATTTTAATGGAGGCACCTGCTTGATTAATTCTGTACAGAGTGTAGAACTGTGTCAGTTTCTCATTAAACATGGTGCAGATGTGAATGCACAGGACATTCAAAGCAAAACAGCTTTACATTATGCTATTCAAGAACACAGGTAAGCAGAGAATTAAATTTTATGTAATATATTACGCGACGACAAAAACGAAAGTATTATTGTGTAATGCCTGCTTACAGAATCGAAACAACGAAATTATTGTTAGAGAATGGCGCCGATTATCTTGCGAAGTCAAAATGTGGTGATGATGCGTTACAGACTGCTTGCCTAAAGGGTGCGCTGGCAATATTTGAATATCTAACCAAAACTATCCCGTATTCAGAGGAGCGACTCGCTAATGCCCACGAATTAATCGGAAGTACTTTTCTCGATGAACAAAATGACACATTCACCGCCATTGAGCATTGGCGTGCAGCGCAGACAATCCGTGAACGCGCAGGTAAATTAATCCCACATATAACCAATTATAACCTAAAATTTACGTTTATTATAGGTTTATTACCAAAACAACCAGTCGTTCCTCCCCGTGCAGCTTTTCGTTATCAAGTCGAATATTCAACAATGGCGGAACTTGATAATTGGACAGACGTTGACTTCATTCGGATACAAAGTATTTTAATCACGGAAAGAATCTTGGGGCCATCACATAAAGATGCAGTGTTTAAGTACGTATAAAAACCTGACTTTTAAACAAATTGTATAATTTTTATTCTTTTTAAGGTTAATGTTCCGTGGAGCGTCTTATTTGGATGTAATGCGTTATCAACGCTGTATAGATTTGTGGATTCGTGTGCTCGAAATCCGCGTGGAGAAGGATTCAATTCTCTACCCGGATACATGCTTCACTGCGCAAGCGCTTGTCCGTTTAATGGTCGACTACAACGAGAAGTACGACCCGGCCATCGACGAAGAGTTCTCATACGCGCAGCGTTTCGAAGATTCAGTAAAAACATTTGAGATTCTCACAAAGGACATTGCGCAAGCGCGTCAGTTGCTCAACGTACGGCCGCAGTACCGTCGACAAATCGAAAGTTACGACCGAATATTAAAAAGTATCACGCATCTTATCTATCTAATGATTCGCTCAGCGACAAGCGAGCAGATAACGATAGTTCAGCGATTGGTGACTGATTTGGTACGTGTGAATCCCAAAAGTGGTACTACCGATGACAGTCTGTTGCATTTGTGTGTGTCAAAGTTAAATACAATTCGTTCGGGTTATTTCAGTGAAGATGAACCAATTGTAAGTAATAATAATGAAGTATTTGCTTGCATAAGTTGGATTATAACAATGATTTCTTTGTTACAGGCTATTTTTCCCAACCAAACAGTTATTGAGTTTCTGCTTCGTTGCGGTGCGAGTGTGAACGCACGCAACGAATCAAAATCAACGCCGTTGCACGTCGCGACTGTTCCGTACAATTACAACAAATGGGTAGGTGTTGCAATATTATAAACTAAAAATATAAATGCAAACGAAAGCGTGTGATTCAATTGTTTGGTCTTTTTCTTTGTTTGGCAGCTTGTGAAATTACTATTGCGACACGGTGCGCATCTAGATCAACCAAACAGTGCCGGCGAGTATCCAGCGCAGAAAGTAAACCAATCACCGTTTACCATGGACCTGCGCCTGATGAACTATATCACGCTCAAGTGCTTGTGTGCGACAGTCATCTACAAGCATCGCATTCCGTACGTGGGGCAAGTGCCCAAAACGCTGGAGAGTTTTATTCAATTGCACGAGGCGTAGGAGCGAAAACAAGACTGCTTTAAATGTGATTTTCAGTTGTCTCGATATGATTGACTGGAACTTTGAGTTGAGTGGAAGTTAATTGTGAATCAATCATTATAGTACTTAAATTTTAATGTGTTATCTCATAAGTTGCGTAAATGCTGTCGTAAACAGCGCGAGTATAACGAAGAGTGATGTGGCGTGGTTTACGCTATAGCCATGACTGCGTGTATATGAGTCGACGATGCGAATGCGCCAGCCCATGTTCGCTTGCGTAAATGAATTATAGTAGACTACGTCCGGCCAAGAGGTATTTGGCGTGATCTCCAATGTTGCTGCCTGTCCCTCTTCGCACATATATATCAGGCTGCGGTTGTATTTTTTGAATGTGATGAAAGTATCGTCCAGTCGACGATCGGCAGACTCGCGGTGTTTAGCTAGACAGAGCGGCCCGGCTGTAACTCGAATATTTTGCAATACATACACATAACATGTAATCAATTGTTTTACCTGCGGTGGGTCGTGGACGACCACGCCGTGAGTATTCTACACCGGCAAGTACACGCACATTGGATTGTGCATCATCGGTAAGTTTATCGAAGCCGCCATGTGGTTCATCAGTAATGACGAGTGGATGGTAATATTCTGCGCTGTGTGGATTATTACCACCTTTTACTTTGAAAGCGTAAGTCAATCCTCGGCGTAGCCATATTTCCGGTGCGAGGTACCCATTTATATACCAGGATAAGCTGGTTGCAGGTTGACCTAACCACAAATATGACAATTTTTATCATAACCTCAATTTTGTCCAATTAGAACTTACCAGCGATTGTTTGATAACCTTTTTTGCCAGCAGAGGGTCCAATATACGCGTTAAAGGTTCTTATCGTTCTGTCGAAGATCTGGCCACGTTCCCAAGGCTCCAGGACGACCTCTTGATTGCTTGTGAATGCAAAACAATTATTGATCGGTTCGCTACTATTGAATGCCACCTTGATGTTAGATTTAGGGTAGATATCATGGAATGCAGGCTCTTTGTTATCATCCAATCGTCCGATAGCCCAGACAATGTACGCTTCGGTATCAGTAGGCACTTCCTTATCGCCAGCATCGGAAGAAATCAGCGAACGTCGAAATGTGATGATGTTGACGCCATTAACGCGGCTGGCTGTGTGCAGTTGATTGTTATTCTGGCCACCGACCATTTCATCTTTGCATACGCCTTTGTATTGTCCCAGGACTTTCACACACTAATAATAATTCATATAAAACATTAAACACATATATATTATTGAATATATTTTATATTTTACCGGTGAGAGTGCTGTAATATTGTAATCATCAACATGTCCCTGCAGACCGTCGATATAGGCAACTGCTACATCAGCGCCCATCATTTGCGACTTGTCAGGAGCTCCAGACAAACCAAACGCAATATATTCGTCTTCTTTGACCTGCCCAGCCATTTCAAAGGTTACCGCCGGGCCAAAGATCTCCCACGATACTCGGAAGTCTTTGTGCAGTTGGAGACAATTAGGCAGGCTTGCTTTGTGCGGCTAAGAACAATCAAATATGGCGTCACACAACAATTAAACAACCAAACAATGCTCAGCATACGCCCGAACATTAACAATAAGTAGTTTTTAATTACAATACTTACAATTACTTTTACCAACGACGGCGGTACATTCAAACCGTCTGGAATGATAATTGAGCCCAGGTTCTGGCTGGTTTCCAGGTCGAATACGCTGAACCAATCAATGTTGAAGATTGTCATATCACCAGGTAAAGTTAGGGTGATTGTTTCACCTTTGTATTGCCTCAATGAGTCTAAACTGCAATTAATTTTAAAAGTTGCAGATTATTAGAATAACATCGGTCATTTTATGTTCTGAAAAACTTACTATCCATATTCATTAGGCACTTTGTTCCCTTTTGAAGATGGCTGGGGACCAACCCCCACCCAAAAATACACATCTTTTCCCTGACCATCATAGAAGAAATCAACCAAGCGGATTGTTTTCGAATCAACAATTTCAACATTCTCTGACCGCACACCGTTTAATTTCCCGGACAATTGTGAAATCTTTTGCACCGCCGGCGGTTCAAACTCCTCTGGAATGTAAACATCTCCGAACGTGTTCTGACTCCATAAATCATAAATGGCAAACCATTTGATTTCGGTGATTTTCTTCTTGTCGGGCAACGTAAGTGTGAAGTCTTTGTTAAAATAACGTTCTAAGACATTGGTTCTAAAAATAAATATAGTTTAACATAATTTTATTTATTTTAGTATTGGAGGAGTGATGATAACGTACTTATTGTACTCGTCAGGTACGATGAACCCTTGAGGACCTGGCCGATTGGCAGCGCCGGACCAAAAGAAGGTATCGGCTCCATTGCCATCATAACTAAAATCGATGAGTAACAACGTGAACTCATCGACTGCGTAAACATCACCGGAAACTTGATGATGATAGGAATTCAATTTGCCAATGAGTTTACCACGGTACGGGCCATCGTCATCTTGACAATTACCTAAAATTTTGATATTTTAATGTCAAGGAAAAGAAAGTGGTCAGTGCGCTGCGTTTCAAGCGCGTGTTCCGCTTTTCAAGGTCTATAAATCTTCGCTTTTTATTTCGTTTTCCATTCTTTACTTAACTCACATATTTAATGACTTACCGAAAGCACTAATAGTGATAATCACACACACTAAATATTTAAACATACTAAGATTTTAAAAAGTTTTATTGACCAAACACTTTTAGTATTTTTTGAGTTTCCACTTGAGTATTTTATATTTTAAATCTATTATCACATTTTCTTTTATTTTTCTTTTTATGTACTCCAAATCATTTATTTGATCATTGATTTAATTTGTCTGTTTGCACTTAGTGATTGCAATATTGTTGGTGGAATCGCGAGTTGTTTCTAAAAAAAGCTGCTCGTTGTAGAACGTGTGCACCAACATAACTTTCTACTACTTATTGCAGCCTGTTGGCCTGCCGACTCCGGTACGTCGACTCTGGCGGTTCTTCCACTGCCACTGCTCACCACTGCTCATTTTATTAGCAGACAGAAGGTTGTTCGCGCCGCACATTTCAAGAACTTGTTTCCTGCTGTGCCTGCATGGGCTGCACAGTATTGCTACAAGTTATACATACCAAAATGTCTTTTTACTTTTTACCGACATAAACCGTCACCATATAAATATTCATATTTATAAAATCACCTAAAGATTATTTTAAAGTTTTTTACACATAATTTTTAATTAGTTATATTAACACAGATTATTTAAACTGGTAAACACTTTAATAATGTTACCGTAAGGTGCTGCCCCCTTGCTATCATTATCAACAACTATTATTTCTTTATATTTTGCGCATTTTGCTTTTATTTAACATTTTATTTAACTGTATACCTTGTACCGATTGTACCAAGTTGAATTGTATTATACTAGGTCGTATTTAGTTCATTGTTTGATCAATAACACGTTCCTTAACGATAACTTTAAATGTTAACGTAAAATTCAGTGCGCCATGTCGCTCGAAGCAATCAACAATCCGCGTATTGTCGCTCGCAAAGAAAGCAGTATTATTTTAAACTGGGAGGATGTTTATCCTCCAATAGAAGACAATTCTCACCTGGATAGAGGCATTCAAAAATCTTCTCCACCTAAAATTAAACCCTCTCATGAGCGTATCTATGATGTGCGCATTAAGAATGATATTGACGAATGGCACATAGTCTATTGGTACATTCTATAAATTATTCCAAGTAAATTTTTAATTATTTTGATTCCAGGGGACGTAAAAACCAAACAACTATAACTAATTTACAACCGTGCAGATGTTACTCGTTTAAAATCAAACTAATCCACAATGATGTTGAATCGCATTGGTTGGAGTTCAAAGCGGCGACCTCCATTGATCAACACCACGTGCAACATCTTACAAGAGCAATAAAATTCGGTAAAACAGCCGCAATACGCAAAATAATCATCGCAAAGTAATTTCACTTCAATTACCAAGTGTTAAAGTCAATATTTCAAGTAAGTTTTAACATTTCAGGCCATTTTTGTTAGAAACACCGAATCTGGAAGATAAAACACCCTTGATGCAAGCCACTGAACGTGCAGACCTACACGTGGTACAATTCCTGTGCACCCTCGGCGCAAAAACCAACACACAATCATTAATTGGCCATCGGACCGCATTAATGATAGCTTTGTTTTATGCATTCATCGACATCGCTCAATATTTACTCGAAAAGAATGCTAATATTCATTTAAGAGATATCAATGACCGCACAGCGTTACACTACGCCATAGATGGAGATAACCTGGACGCTGTGAAATTTGCACTTAAACACAGAGCGGAAATCAACGCAAGGGACGACAAAGGATGGACGCCATTACTACGAGCTGGTAATCAAATGAAACACGAAATATTCAGCTATGTTTGGTGTTTCATTCGTATGCATCTGTTACAGTTATTCTGGAAGTACAAGACGACATCATAGAGTTGCTCCTACGTAAAGGAAGTGATTGTAGTGTCGTAGACCAACGTGGGCTAGACATCCGTAGACACTTGGAGTTGACGAATCGTACGCGACTATTGAAAAGGCTCAAATTGCTTAAAAACTAACGAAATATTGCTCTGCACTGTTGCGCATAACCTCTTCCAAAAACGAAGTGTGGTTATGTATGATTGACAAACGACGCTCAGAATGCCCAGTAACATTGCACAAAGTCAACTTAAATAGTTCATATTCCAGTCTTTTAAACTTGTTTTCCAGTCATAAATTAAATATTATAAGTTACATTTCAACTGGTTCGAAAAACACCTTATAAAATCGGGCGATACCAAACAATTTCACCTCCTAGACACCCACTGACCATCTGATAATGTTGTGGATTGAATTTACAGCATAGTACAACATTGCTGTGATAGTCCTTGTACGTAGCAAGAGTAAACAACTCTCGCGGCTTGTCAGGCACTGCATAGCACACTTCCTGCAACTGCTCGTTGAAACCCAACAAACGCACACCTTTACCATACGGCGAACAAATCAACCTTCCATCCGTCGAATAACACAATTCTTTAATATACCCCTTGCCTGAACCGGTCACCTCTTCAACGTAGTGCGTTAAACGTGGCAGATTCTTGATAATACGATAGCGGTCCTCCTGCCGGTGTCGAAAATACGGGTTAAACATATGACTACAGTTAACCCCTGAGTTGATAACACCCAAGAATGAACCACGATTTGTAAGGTCAGTAATCTCCTGCCGATTGCGTTCGGTGTTGAATCGCTCATTAGACATTGAACCCACCCAGATATCCGACAAACCAGTTATGCGGTAACCATCCGATGGAGGTGGTTCCTCCTCTTCGTCAAGGTTTTCATCAGGGAGAGCTGATTCGTCAACGACAGTGTATGTATAATCACTGGGATCTCTTGTCTGGATATCATGCACACAAGTCCACTAAAAAAACATATTTTTAAGAAAAGCAGAAAAATTAATATGAATAAAACTTACTTCACGACTATCGTCAGTACAAATATTTCTAGATAAAGCATTCCAACCCATTGGATGGATTTGTATCGAACTAATCACTTCAGCGTCATTCGGAAAATCATCGATGAATTCAATCCTGTTTCGCTTCCGACTCGGAGCGAAGAGGTAATTGTACATGGTAGCTGCAGGAAAAGTCTGGTCACTCAATTGCATAAGTCTATATAAATTGGGCTGTAAAATCAAATTAATTAATTTCAACTTAAAAATATCAAGTGGGATTTGTTACCCTAAAAGCCTTCAAGTCATTAAACATAGTCTTCAAGTCAACATCATGTATAACCATGAGGAAACCAGTAGTGGTCGCAATTATTAATTTGCTACCATCTGCTGTAAGTTTAGTGCGCATCAGTCCGTTCATCTCGAATACCCTGTCATAGAAACAATTGTATTCGCTATTATTCTGCGCCAGATCCCAGGTGTAGATTGATCCGTCGAAGGCGGAAGTCACGATGACATTATCCTTCTCGCAGTATTCTATGTTCTTCACCCAGTTGGTGTGGCCGCATAAAGTGCGCGTGCATTTTTTCAGACTTCGTGTATCCCAGAGTTTCAATGTGCTGTCATCTGAACATGTTGAGAAAGTGTTGTGGTTTATAAACCTAGAAACAACAAATATTAAGTGAATATTTATTGGGTTTTGTTTATTTCTTATCGAGAAGTAGAAATTATAATGAAAATTGTGTTAGTATTGTAGTTTGTAGATGTTTTAGCATGAAAAATGTGTAATTATTGAATTTTGCTGATGTTTTAAGCATGCAATATGTTAATAATCATAAAACATTTATCATTTAAGACAATTCTCTTTCAAATTTGCATTCTAATAAGATTTAAAGTGTGTATCATGTTTTGCAGGTTATAATCTGGATACAAAACTATTTTTTGTTGGATTAAATGAAAATAATGATTACCTGACACAATTTACACAATTGCTATGTGCTTTCTCAATTTTATGCACACATTTTTGATTTGATGCATCATACAACACCACAGATTCATCCTCGCAGGCAGCAACCAATATTTTTCTACAAATAAAACAACAAATTATTATAATACATTTATCTGTAAACATTGGATTAATTTTACCCATCAAGACTAAATTCCAGATTGAAAATGCCACCTTTTGTGTTAACTTTATTCATAGGAATATCACTGACATAGGCATCAAAGTTAGAGTAGATCTTTTTGTGGACGTCGTCATCATAGCCGAGCTTACGTTTCCTGCCTAATTCTCTATCCCTGATAATATTATAGTTGCTGCTGTTGTAGCTCACATCAGCGAGCTCCTTCGACGACATTTTCGCACTTTTCCCAATCAAAAAATGATCGTTTAACCTAAACGCGCACTTTCTAGTCTTGTGTTTTACGTTTGACGCATTTTATCACTGAGTACTCGTGCGACAATCGATGCGTAGGTTGAATGCGCGCACCGTGGATAATATTTGCATGTTGCGGGGTGCAACGAATGGGAATTGAGTGAAAATCGAATATTTAATCCAAATTTGTGACGAACTGGTTAGCAGCTGAGCAACGCACAACACTGAACACACACTTTGATCGTTTCAACTGTCAGTGAGTACACGAACGTAGCACACTTGCGTTGACGTTAGATACTGCTGGAAGATCAACGAGCGCGTTTTCGAATGTGCGCCACGCTCGCTCTATCTTCTGTATGCGAGTGAGAAATGTTTCTGCGCGGTCGTTGCTTTTGTTAAGTCCGTTAAGTCGATGCGCATTTGTTTCAACTTGGCGTTTTTTGTTTGGAGTTAGTAGTTAGGTAGCGTGTTAGTGTTAGGTTAAAGTCAAGTTCAGGTAAAGAGGTGGACGAGGTGGACTTGTGCAGATTTTGCAGAGTGTGAGGTAAATTATGCACAGATTTGTAATAAATTAAGCGTTAATTGAAAGGTGTTATAAGTCTATGTGCTAACATTAATATTTTAGACATAATCAATGATAATTACTGGTTTATTTTGGAAATTTTATGATGATTTCTTGGTGTTTCTAACCTTACTTTTTGGTTAACCTATGACGCGGTAACCTGAACCACTTTTGACAGTTCTGTCAAAAAGTTTCGGTGCGCGTTGAATACGTTCAATATTTTTAATTTAGTGTTTGTTTAATGTTAAATAACTAAGAGCAATTATGTGTAACAAAGTCAAAACACTATTTAACACTATTTAATCAGTGAATAACTTTCAGTTTTATGTGTTTTACTCTTCTTTTGTTTAATATCTTGTCGAAAATATAAATTTTGAGGTTAGAATTTTTTTCGCTGTTAACTTAACAAGCAAATTTCATTATTTTTTCTGTTTGTTTCACAGATTGTGTCATTGTTTACCACATCGAAGTCCCCTGTTGTGAAACTGCGAAAATGTAAGTAATTTTCTATTTATATCCTTCAAATACGCGTCGCATTCAGGAACATATATTAATTATATTATCGTGTAACTTGGCAAATTGCAATTGAAATCGAATCAGTGTCTATGTCAACGTTTTTATAATGACTTTATCCTCTCGGCAAAGTAGTTCAAAGACACGCATTTGCATGGGAACATGGGAAATGCGTGCTGTAATGAGGACATGAGGAAGTACAGCCGTACACGCGTTTGCTTACGTTCAATTCGCATCTGTGCACGTATTATAATAATATATACAGCAATATGCAATGCTCGCTTTACGTTTCCAGTTGTCGATACTCTTACGACACGCGCGATGATTAATATCATTTATAAATTAAATTAATCTATGCAAAGAAATGGTTGTAATTAAAATGTTGCATTTTTAAATATTAACAAAAATATATTTAATTTAATTTGTTAAAATCAATTAAAAATGTAATTCTATCGCGTATAAAGTATCCACAAATCATCGAAATATCACCACTTGTTCCGGCATTTAAGTGTATAATGTGACAATTTAGCACTTCAACAAATCATAAATCAAGTGCATTCATTAGCAAGCCAAATCAAAACGCATGCATGCATGCAGTGAGTCTTGATTATATCTGCATCAGGAAACTGTTTTGCATTGTCGAGGTTTGCAAATTTTTTGATCTGTATAAGTGGTAGTTTTCAATGTTAAACGCTTTAATTAATTTGTATACTTATTTTATTTAAATTATTTGTACGTACGAGTACAACTTTCTTTTAGTTTCTTGTAAGAAAATCAAATCTATAATATAAAAATGAATCGCAAATTATTTTTTTTAAATGTTCGTTAAAGTCCAAGGATGGTTTTAACGGCGAGAAAAATTAGAATAATTGCTGAGAAAACTCTAAAGACAGCCCTTTTCCATAGGATAAAAATTGTCATTGAGATTTAATCATAGTTATAGTTAAATAGTTGAATCCGAGATGGCGCATTGAAGTGCATTATTAGCAATCCTTACTAATATTATAAATGCGTATGTCCTGAAGTTTATCGTGCTTTCACGCAAAAACTACTTAACAGATCATCATGAAAATTTGTACACATATTCTTAGTGGTCCCCGATAGGTTATAGGCTACTTTTTATTTAATAAAAATAATTATTTTTTAAATTAAAATAAAGAAATTGTTTAGTCACTAACACCTCTGCATCTGGTTATTTGACTACTTTAACGCCATCTCGCATTCCAGCAATGAAGCTCACACCTAAGTACTATAGTACCATCACACTGTATTACCGACAGCTACGTCAACATCAAATCCGTACACATATTCTTAGTGGTCCCCCATGGTCCCGGAATAGTTATAGGCTACTTTTTTATTTAATAAAAAAAATTATTTTTTAAATAAAATAAAGAAATTGTTTAGCCAACAATACCTCTACATCTGGCTAATTGACTACTTTAACGCCATCTAGCATTCCATCTAAAATTTAAAACTTTATTGCATGTAGTAATTTTTTCACATAGACAATCCTAGCCAAGCAGTGAAATATACATTCTTTCTATCAATCCGTTTCAACTATGTATAATGATTTCTAATATTTATTTGATGGATTCAACGCGAGCGAAGTCGCGGGTTAAAGCTAGTTCTTCATATACCTAATTAATTTTTTAAAAATAAAATTGCGAATCTTATTGAAAGAATTGACACATACTATGTGTAGAAGAAGAGAGTAAAAACGAATTACATTTTATGAAACACTACCGGGACGAAATCGCGGGTAAAAGCTACATATCTTTTTGGTTATGCGTCTAATAAAGTTACTTAAGTCATTATTGCATAAAACATAGTATTCTATTTGAAGGTATTACACTCTGCCTGTTTTTCCTTCTGTCACATTTAATTTCTATGCTTTGAAGGATTAATTGTGGAAGAAAACAAATAAATAACCTACATTCAGAATGATCTTACCACCAAACCTTCAAAAAGTCCTTCGTAAGTAATTCTATAACGAGCAACAATTAAAGAAATTCTATAAATATCGAATTACTAACGAAGCGTACACGAACGACGTGTTCACATACATATATATTTACATTTGTTAATGAATAATAGCATGAAAAAGAGTTTATTTCTAATGCCACTTATACAATGTGCTATGTATATTGTGAAAAACAAGCTAATTAATGGCTTAACTACGAGATAAAAATTCATTACTTATATCTTGTATCATTCAAGTGCACTGCAAATGCAATAGAATATAGAAATAGTTGAAAAAATGCGATTGACCTTGTTGGATGCATTTTATGTGCATTTAACATGCGTAAAACGTGCGTAAACATTGCTCTATTGATCTAATTAAATTAAACTTATTCAATTTTAGTCTCTGATGTATCTATCTAGTAAAAGTGAATCATCCTTCACAGATCTAAGTACCTATTGGTTGTGTGTTAATTAATGTCAAGTAATGCGAACATACACCATTTATAGATTATATGTTTTTTGGTGTCATCAGGCCATGAATGAAAACAGCATATTTATTACAAAATTATTTTTGCGTGTGTATTGAACTTGAACCTGACGAATATCCAAGAAATATAAGTACGTACCGTCGAAAATTGTTCATTGGCTTTTGGTTTCGTTAGTTTTTGCTACAAGGTAAATCACCTTTGTGATTATAACTTACGTCATGCATTTATTCATGACCTTCCGTAAGTTAGCTCAATTTAAGTATTTAAATAATTATTCAACAATGGCATAATCGTTGAAATAATTTAACTAATGTAATATTAGTTAATTTGGTTTTGCTATTATTTATATTTTGCGCTGGATGGAATTTTGTGATCTGGATTTGTGGTTTTGTGTGTTTTTTTTTGGCACAAACGTCAATCATAGTCTGCTTTGTCTGAGTTTCTAGTCTGAGCAGAGGCGGAAGTGAAACCGAAATAAATTCCAATCACGAGTAGTAAAATATTGACCTTGCAAAAAATAATTAAACTAGAAAATGTGTGTATTTAGTAGAAATTATTTAAATATTCGACGGCGTTACGTTTCCGTATTTTTTTGCGTTATTAAGCAATGCAGACTGCAAATGTCAAGTTAGATGCTGAGATGAAGTTGTAATATAGGCAACTTAGTATACAATATGCCGCACTCTTTGCTCATAGTACAGCAGAAATAGTATATTAATAGTAACTGACGGAGTATTCAGGCACGATTACGCGTTGTCCTTTTATACCTGCGGTTAACCTGCGAAAAGTGGTGGGGGAAGACATGCGTGTTAGTTACGATGTTGTTTAGGCGCAAGGGTGATACGATAAGGTTTCCGACGAAGTCGCAAGGGGGTCCTTAGTTTAACAATATTTTATTTCGAGGTTCCGCTTTATATACACACAAAAAACACGTAAAAATAAACAACATGTATAAAAATCTGTCAATTTTCGAAAAAATTTATCAGCTTAGAAGCTTTTAAATACTTAACTTTAGTCATATTTTACTTATCATACTCATTCTTCACATCTAAACAAAATGTTGAAATACTAGACATACTAGAATTGCGCTCATTGTTATTTGTACACTGCTGGCTGCACTCTTCTCTTTTTTCTCTTTATCTTTCCTCTCTTGTTCTTGTTGGGCGGTGTGTTCTTCCGTATGATGCGCGGCTCTCTTCTTTCTTGCTTTGCTCCTCTCTTCTCCGCTAACCCCTAGCGGCACAAGTTCATCTTCCTGTGAAGGGTGTAATTCCCTCAGGGTGATGGTCTGCTTGATTGACCCAGCAGGGAGGTCAAGTTCCCTATTCAACGATCTGCTTTGCAGTTGTGGGGCGTTCAGATCAACTTTGAGGTTAAGCGGAGGCAGATCCCCCTTAAAAGGGGCTGATTGTGGATGTCTTAAAAGTTCAGCACCCTTACTGGATCTGCTTGTGAGGGATACAACTGGTCCACCACGAGCGGTGAGACTTGCACCTGATACTTTTCTGCCATCAAAGGTGATAACTGTTCCAGGGGCCATGTCAATATTGCTTCGGTGACGTGGACGTTCGATTGGTTTGGAGCGTCGTGTATCAGGAGGAAGGTAGTAGGCATCTACTCGTTCATTAGCAGCTCCTGCAGGTTCTTCCAAGTCAAATTCATACTCGCGACCGTAGTGAGTTGACCTCCTGGCAGCGTTCATCATTTTATTATAAGCGTAGATTTTTTTCTTCAAAGCCTTCTTCATGTCGATAGTTGGTGAAGGTATGAACATTGGTTCGAAGTATTCCGTAGCCTGGGCAGTGGGTTCTTTATTTGTTTCGGAGTTTACGCTTGCTTGGGTTTCATCAATAACACCCGCTTCACTTTCAATCTCAATTTCTGGTCCGTCAACTTGACCCACGCGGGATTCAATGTCTTTGGAGATAATGGGTTTGAATCCACTTTCGATTACCACAGAAGATGGGTCAAAACCAGTGTTAATTGCTTGTTTCATTGGAATAAGTATGGTTTTATAGTGTTTTTCTGAAGGTGCTGATTGTTGTGCTTGCACATTGATAGGTTTCTCATTGAACGAAATTGTCTCGGATCGTTCTGTTGAAGGTTGAGGTTTGGATACTTCCACATTCGGTTCGGCGTTCAGTTTTTGTGGTTCTGGCATGCGTGATGTTACTATTGGTTTATTTTGGGGTTTCATGATGATTACATTGTGAGGTGGATGCATGGGAATTGGAGGATGTACTGGCTGACGACTAATCATTGCCCCGGGTGGTGGCATTGAGAATATCAAAGGTTTTTCATACTTCATTGGAGGTCCCATCCAAGGCCGACTGATTGGAGCTTTCATATAAGGTCTGTAGATGGGTTTCTTCACGAACATGGTAGGTCTGCGATGTTTTACGTATGTGGGACGAGGCATTGACGCCATTACAGTTTGGTGATGTACAGATGGTCGACGTAGAACAACTTTTCCCATTGGCATAATCTGTGGACCCAGACCAAAAGGTATTCTTGGAGGTCCATGAGGACCAAGAGATCCAGGTATTAAAGTAAGGTTCTTTCTGCTATCTGAACGAAAAGTAAACTTTTTTTCTACATCTGGGAGTTCTTGAATAGTTTTATCAATTCTTGGAGTAGTCTCACTGATTACTTCCTCTTCCACAACAGGTTTCACTATTTCTACGGTGTCTTTCTCATAAATAATCTGCTCGTTTTTGTTTAAAACATCTTCCAAATTGTTGGGTTTTACTCTGGTCTCTACTCGAATTGAAGGACTATCGGCTAAGTCATCTTTTGGTCCTTCAGCATCAACCTCAGAATCGGGAGCAACTACTGTTTCATGAATTTCACTAGCGGCTTTCGAGATTTCACAAGAGTCCAAAACATTAATCTTCCATCCAAGATATCTATGTGTGAAACATTGATAGTAGACTGTGTCAGGGGTGTCCTTATCAGGTGTCCATTGAATAACTCCAGGTTCACCTTTATCACATCTCAATTCTAGAGTACGTTGGTATGCTCCGAATGAATCAAAATCATCTGCTTCGGATTCACCTTGATGGGTCCAATGACAGAGGCGCCCTATTCCAGTAGGTTGCACAGTTCCGTCTTTAGCTTGACCTGCGCCTGCAAAAATGGTGACATTCTGTCGTTCTTCAATAGTTTTATATTCATATCCTCCAATTGGATCATCAGTGATATAGAACGGATGATAATTAGCGGGTGTTTCCGGGTTATGTCCACCTTCTACCACAAAGGTATAGGTTTTACCACGAACCACATTGATTTCCGGAATGAGGAGTCCGTTGATATACCAACAGATACCCCAGCCAACATGACCAGTAATTGCTGGGTATCCATGTTTGCCGCCGGTAGGACCCATCTGGGCGTAGAAAACACCATCATCAGGTTCATCACATTGAATTGGTGGAATTACCCATGCGTTACGATTTGATACTGGCGCAGGTGTAGCTGGTGGTCTTGTAGAAGCACGGCTTGCACCTCTATTAGGAGTACCTCTTTGTCTTGTTGTCGTTTGGGATGATTGACTTCTTTCGTTGTCTATTTGCTGAGCAGGGGAACCTCTGTTTGAACCACCTCTACGTTCAGGAGTACGACCTCGTGTCCTAGTAGGAGCTGGTGTTGGTGGTGGTGTTGCAGGTATTCTCTCTTCTTCATCAGCAACATACGCGGCTTGTACCGGTCTAGCCGTGACTGGTTTCATGGAAGGTTGATCCCCTTCAGGCATGGGACAATTCCACTTGGCAGCTCTTCCGAAATCAATAATCTTATCCTTTTTGTTGTATTGGCTATGGAATGACACTTCATCGCGTTGATTTAGTGGTCCAATGGCCCAAATTACAGGTTGCGAGTGATTGGTAAAGATTGCTTTATCGTAGGTATCCGCTGGTCGTAAAGGTCGTTGATAGGTTACAATTGAATAACCGTTAACCATTGCAGCGTTAAGCAAACGAATGTTATTGGAATTGTCCTGAAAGCAGCAAATAAAAAATAATGGCAGCGCAAATTCCTGATCGGATTTTTTAAAGACTCTTTGCGGAGGCAAATTAATTGGAATGTATAGGGATTGAATGTCGCTGGCTGTCGTTGGATCGGGTTGGGAGCAATCAATTTAATTGGTGCTTACCGCTAATTTGGCATCGGGACAAGATCCCCGTGGACCCGAGCACTGCGACTTTGCCTCTAAGTAGTAATCCTCAGCGTAGCCTTTCAGCGTTTCCTTGTCGACCCACGCAACCACAACGTCGCCGCCGACCATCTGGCTTCTGCCCTCGTCCCCAGAAATACCGAAGGACATGTATTCGCGATTTTCTACAAGAAAAAAAAATGCATAAAATTTAATGATGCATATAACCAACCGAAAGCCATCTAATCGCATCAGAATCATGAATATAAATTCCGACGTTTTTATTTTATGACTCGATTTGACCTTTTCGCATGTGCCGAGCAATTTTCGAATTAGTTACGTATGCGATTAGTGAATCGCAGAAATTGTAAAATTAACCGTTTCCTATCGGTCGCGTAACAGCCATCTTGGATGCCGATCGCTTGCATGCCGGCCGTGCGGTAATAAATAATGTCAGCTCGCAATTATCTATCATTCCATCTTGCGAACGCGCAACATAATGGCGCAAAGTTTCACTTTTCTTTCGGGGCGCTCGCAACAAATCACAGCAATAACGCAACCAATACTCCATCTGCTATTATTCCTAATAATAACAACAAAAACAAATAAAACATAAAAAATATCCATAAGAAAACTGTTCTATTGAAATTGATTTTTTGGTTTGAACTAGGATAGAATATTATTCAACATCCTGTATGTGCAACATGTGGGTTCCAGTTTTGAAGGGCAATGAACCGGGCGGCGGAGAAAGTGTGCATTTTTTACTTTCGTTTTCGAGATATTTCTCCATACGCCATCCATTCGCCTATATTGGCGCATGCATCATTAATATTTTTTATCGATTTTTCGCCCATTCGACACGGTGGCATTTACATAAGTGCGATTTGTATGCTATTATAATTGGCGAACGTTTAGACGTCTCTCCATTTTGAGGTTAATAGACAGACAATAATGTGAAATCAATTTCTGCATGTCTGCATAATAACGATTGTGTCATCATCGTTTGTCATAATATCCCATTGTTTATTGTTTATTTCTTCGCGCCGTGTAGGTGTCGGCATTAATTATACCAAATATTTTTCTACAAACAGCGCGCCTAATTGCTTTTTTACGAGGTTATGGTGAAATTAAAATGATCAATGTGCAAAACAAGTTGCATACCATTAGTGATTTAGAACAAATTCATTCTTGTTGGTTTTGTTCGGCTAATGTCGCTCGGAAAAAATGTCACACACCTATCATTAAGAGACTCACCTAATTTTGCAACCAGTTGCAACACAATGCTGTCGCCTGCGACCGCCCAACGCACTTCAAATGCCAAGTCGTCGTGTAGCACCTCACAGTTGAGCTTCGACTGCAATCAAACAAACAATAAATCATAACATAATTACATAACCAAATTCGAAATCTTTCAACTCTTAACCTTTGCTTAACTCTCGACATTCTCAGCTGATTTCCGCGTTCTTTAATACAACACACTACTGTCGCACCTTGTATAACGTGGAAGATGATTAGAGGCAAACAAACACGAGGCAATTTGCCGGCTGGATTGATTAGTTTAGCGATTATAAATTTCTAATTAATATTGCGCTAATTCGGCGTTAATCCGTTCGCCGAGACTATTAATTACAACTTTCGGGGCGCACTAATGAACTGCTGAAAGGAGCGAGAACCACAAGTCTATGCAATATCTCTAATGAAATTACGAGGGTTATGTTCGTTTTTGTTTGAAAATAAAGCAATTTTTATTAATTCTAGGTAAAAAAAATTAATGCACTGGCCATAAATTAAGTATACATACTGGTTAGGAGTACAGGTACGTATTTACAAAAATATACAAAAAATTTACACAATTTCTACAAGTTAACCGAAAATTTCAAAACAACACCCTGTAGTGTGAAAGAGGTTAAACTTAGAAATAAATACGTGATGAGAAAGCTAATTTGCTACGTATTTTAAGAGCCTCAAGCCAAATGTTTAGCCGAATTGTCGATAATTGTTCGCGTTTGGTGCAATTTGATAGTAGTTTGTTTGAAAACTACGATTTTGAATTTGTGGTTGTGACAAGGGTTGCTGCTGTTGCTGTTGCGCGATTTGATTAAAAGGCGTATAGGGAACTGGCCTACGCAAATAATTTTCATTCAGGTATATATTATTGAGGTTAGGTTGTGGTTGATGTTGTTGTTGTTGAAATTGTTGTTGTTGTTGTTGTTGGGGTTGATATTGCACGTCAAAAATGGGTCTGAATTGTTGATGATATTGTTGCTGATTGTTTTGTACATTTTGTAAGTTTTGTATGTTTTGAAGGTTATGTTGATGTTGGTATTGCGCGTGCGCGATAGCATTCTCGTTTGGTATAGCGTTGAGCGCGTGATTACGACTGTAGATGTCGCGATTAACCACATCGTGTCGGCCATTTTGTGCGAACGCCTGCGGCGATTGTTGTTGTTGCTGCTGTTGTGGGGGATTAGGGTTAAAATTCAGCTGGTCGGCACGACGCTGCGCGAAGAGAGCGGCGTGTGACGGCGGCCGATAGGTGGTCGCGTCCACTCTGCCCCCGACATGCTGTTGTACTTGCTGTCGCTGCGGTTGCGACTGCGACTGCGCATGCGCGTTGATGACGCTTGGATAGTCGCTAGGTCGCTTCTGCAACAACAGAAAGAACTTTTACTTTTACTTGCTAGTCGGGGGAGATACTTGAAAGAGTGGCATTAACATTAAATCGCGTTTGGTTTTTTTGTGTTTGGCTTGAGCTCATGACGCATAATCCGTATGCATTTTGAAACACTCACGAAATTAATTATGAACTGCCATCCGGCGGTATGCAGGGGGGTCGTGCGCGCGTGTCGCGCCAATTTGCCGATCTCATATAACGCGATGATGGCGTTATTAAATTTACAATGGACAGTACGTGGCGGCATGCACCACCGCTGGGTCTCTCACATCTCGCACGACCGGAATGCCGACGACGGTTTAGCGAAAAATTCGACACGGTCACGATCTATTTATATATACACTATGTTTTAATAAATATTAATAGAAAAAGAAATGATCCAACAAATATTTAGAAATTATATATACAACATGTTTAAAGTTAAAAGTTGAAAAGATTTCGAATGATTAAAACACTTGGTATGTTTTATGAGATAGTATTAGGTGTTGATGTGGGTGTGAGACACATACCTGCGGACTGACGCCAAGCATTTTCAGCGACGGCGGCACGTTGAGGTCCTGCGGAATTTGCACGTGGCCAAAGTCGACGGTGAACGCCTCGCACCAGATGCCAAAGTGTCCGATGTCGAACACGGTGAGGTCGCCGGGCAACGTCAACACGACCGTCTTACGATCGTAACGCCGCAAGGGGATCTCTTTGCCGTTTTCATCAGGCACGCGCACCCCTTGCGGGGACGGTTTCGGTCCTCTGCCGACCCAGAATTTTGCATCTATTATACGAAGCAAAAAAATAAATAAGTAAAGATTTTTTCCTATTTGGGTGAGACCCACATGCGGAAATTAAGCTGACGTGCGGAATAGAAATGTTTGACGATGTTTATGACACGCGAGAGGAAATTGAGAAAAGACAACGCTTTGCCTTTTGCACCACTCGATCTCCGCGTACTTGAATTATAAAGGAAGCGCGGCCCGGAATCGACGCATCGCAGCAAATCAAAAATACTCGTACAAGTTGATATGTCGACGGAAAAGATGAAGAGAAAAAAAAGAGAACGGTTATAAGAATATAGGAATGCAAGACAAGAGAATATTGCATTCGTGGACGACTAGAAAATAGAAATATGCTCGAAATAGGAAAACCGGAAGACCGGAAAACGGGCGCGCCGTGGAGCAACCCCACTTTATTGAGTTATCGACTCATTGCTGGGATGAGTCCCACAAAGGCATGTCGAATGCATGCATCTGGCACTTTGAGCAGTCGGATGCTCCTTTGAGATTGCCAAGTGAGGGTGAGATATGAAGTGCGAAGCGAGTCAATCGAAATCGATAAATACCTTTCTCATTCACATTCATACCAATGCTAGACTTTTGTGTTAATCTTATTATTTTAGGCATTTTTGTGGTTGAAAATGGTGAAAATATAATCAAATGATGATGAAAACGGAAGTACATCATTTATCCGGTTCGTTTCGGACGATTGAGCGTAATTTATACGCGCGTTATGTGCATTTATGTATGTAGCCAACATATTTCGATGCGCGCTCGAAGCGTAACGAGTTTTCGCTGCCGCACACCGGAAAAAAACTAAACGCGTATATTCGTTTTCGCTTTTTCGATCAGCGGCGGCGGTGTGCTGTTACCAGTTGCCATCCATCAAACGCGCACGCATTTTTATCTACACGCCGCCAGCGTGCGGGGAATTAGAGGGTTGGTTACACACAACAAAATACGCTAGTCAACCACTACTTTTTTTTTCGTCTGTTGGTAAATCTAATGCGTGCTTTGTCATTGTATCGTATAAATTCGGAATTATTTACACCACATAAAATATTTTGAGATAATTGAGGAAGATACTCACCTGGTGCTTCACCATCGTAGGAAAGACTCGGTACCAGCAGGGTTTGCGCATCAACGATGACGATGTTATCGGAATTGACATTGTGTACACCCCGCAACCCGTCAATTTTTTGCGGGCGCGGGTAATCGAAGTTTTTTGGAATTTTCACATCGCCGAAGTTAACCTAGAATTGAGTAGATGCGTAAATGACATCTGTTGAAAACTGTGTACGGAGCAGAGAGCTCATTAGTGGCTAAATTGTATGCTTGTAGACATGACAATTAAACACACGATTCAAGTGATGCTGGCGTTGAGAACACGTCCTCGTAATTATGAGGAAAATTATGATATTCCGTTGAAATCTTAATTCATCCGGAGATAACATTGTTTTATTTTTATTTTTGTTTTTGTGAAAGAAACCGAACAAAACAAACAATGTGAGTAATATTTTCCAGCTGTAGGATAAAATTATTTATTACCACCATTATTTCTGCATTTTCTTTTAGTTTAAGTGTTTCATAATTTATGATAGCATTAATTCCGTGAAAATGCGTGTCTATAAATCTTTCCATGGGTACTTTTCGAATTCAATTAGTTTTGGATAAAATATCAAAGGGTTTTTCTTACCTCATACTCTTCACACCATACAGAGAACCACTTTATGTTGTTGAGACTCTTGCCCTCGGGTAGTGTGATAGTGACACCTTCTTTTCGGTAGCGTCGGAGCACGTCCGGACTGCCGTTCTCGTCGCGAATGCGGAATCCAGTGTTTCCGGGCGCGCGCGAACTTCCGGCGAAGAAGTACGCCGCTGCAAACGTTCCAAACACCCAGCTTACATACACACCAAACATAAACAAACGCTACTGCCCTTGGGGCAAAGCATCAATTGAAAATAAAATTGAATTTAAAGCGCGCCGAGAAAAGATTTCACAAAGGTCAAGATTTAAATAATTCAGTTTTGTTCCTTTGCTATGTGTTTGGGTTCTTTGAATAACCTCTTTTAATAAGACATCATCAGTCTTGCTAGCCTGACACAAATTACAAACTTCCAGCGCGACTCGTCCTTTGGCTGCCAGGTTTGTTTGCTTAGTAAGTTTTCCCTTTCCTATCAAATTCTACCTCATCTGCAACCACGTACTTGGTACATTCTATATTCTACACTTTGCCATTGAAGATGATTTCGCTCCTAAACTGCTGAATTTCACCGGGATACGCTCGGGAAACTTGCGGCGCAAACTCTCAAAGCAAGCTGGAAATAGTTTGCTAAAGAGTCTTACCTGGTCCTTGTCCGTCGTAGGTAAAGTCCTTGATGTGAAGGGTGCGCGCGTCCACGGCGTACACCTCACCGGAAACTCCATGATGCAATTCGGTCAGTTTGCCCAAAAATTTTCCCAAATACGGCGCGCCATTTACTTCAATACTGCTCAAACCTGTAAGAAAATAAATTTGTCTTATTCCAAGGTCATACATCTGTTATTATTATTATTACTAGCTTTTGCCCGCGATATAGTCCCGGTAGTGTTTAATGAAATGTAATTCGTTTTTACTCTCTTGTTCTAGATATAGTATGTGTCAATTCAATCAATAAGATTCGCAATTTTATTTTAAAGAAATTAATTATATAAAGAATTGCTAATAATGCACTTCAGCGCGCCATCTCGGATTCAACTATTTAACGAAAACTATGATTGAATCTTAATGCCTTTTATCCTATAGAAAAGGGCTGTTTTTGGGGTTTTCCCGGCAATTATCCAAATTTTTCTCGTCGTAAAAGCCATCCTTGGACTTAAACAATTCATATCTATATTATACATGTAACCGTGGTCAGTTTTGGGGCGCCACGTTGACCACACTTAACGGGGTTTGACTCAACTAGCGCCACGAAATTACCATTTTCTCGTCTGCTTGTTTTGGTAGTGGTTATCAACTCGGACACGAAATTAATATCGCATTAATTACGCGCGAGGAATGGCGTTACGCCAAACAAGCGTGAATTAATTAAAACTAATGCCAGGCGAATGGTTGCGTTTCGAGTCTGGGTCGAAGAGTGGACCGAGACCGAGTCGCTAAAGATTGACTCGGACGTTTGGTTATTAAAATTCAAGATGGAAAGAATGCGCATGCCGTTAGACATTTTACGCGGGGACGCCATTAGTAAACATGCAAATGCATTTAGAAAAAATTATAAATACTTGAAATAAAATTGGAAAATGTAGCGTTTAAAAAGAAATTAATACTTTCACACATTTCACTGCAATTAGCTCAGTAATTAATTAAATTAATTTAAATACAAGGAATTAAAATGGTATGGATCTCGTTTATAAGTAGAACTTGAGAATTTTTTTTTTCTTTTGGAAAATTTGTTTCTAAAGTACGAAAAAGTGTAAGAATTGATTGATTTTGCGTGTAAATATTGATCCGTAGCAATTGTTCGATGGAGCGCGCCTCAAATCGAAACAAAATGCGCATGCGAATCCGGGTTAGACGATATAAAGGCCGTGTAATCGACGAGCGCGCATTAGATTCGGCCCGAATTAACTGGAGCTTACAATTAGTTTAGTTATTACGATGATTTGTGTGTGCGCTGCGCGCTGATTTTAACCGCATGGCCGGTAAACACACTTTGTACGAATCGCAAATCTATTCTAATCAACTTATTAACGCTGAATCAACTTCACGCGATTGTTTAATACGTGCGGTAATGCGGTAATTCGCGGTGTTTTAACTTATTTAATGAGTTGATGTGTTAATTATTGCGGAACAAATTACAAATTTGTATTCAGCATTCATAAATAAATATATTTTGACTTTGGAGAAAAAAAAAACAACAACATCATCTGATTGATCTATCTAGGCTTAATCTGATCGCCGGATTAATTCGTCAGCGACAAGCGATTAATTGCGTTTAATGCGTTTTTTATTAGCGAATTTAGATTATTACGAACTGGGTCAGCCGAATCATTTAATTACACCAATTAATCACAAAAAATTAATTATTATCTGGAGTGAAATAAAAGCGCTATCAATATTTTGATTTGGAGACAGTTGAAAGATGAAAGTGGCAATTGCAGGTTAAAATCAAATAAATTGGAACATCCTCCATTTAATCACTGCGACTTTCACAAAGTATAAGTATCTATGATCTAGAATTATTATTAGTGTAGATGTATGACATGAGCAGCGTTTTGTTACAATTTCACGCCCCGAAATTAAAGCACAACTTTCTTGCTACCTAAATCGAATTCCATTGAATTGATCATCTCGGTATGATTAAGATCGAATCGCATCGCAATTTGATACGTTGCTATATCCATTAGTTTGATATAGTTTTAAGTTTTTCGTTGTTAATCTTATTTTTTTCTGTTTGTTATTCAAGGCGGTCACTCATCTCGATCACGGTTACTTTCTATTTTATCTCTTTTTCATTCCGAGCGCTGTCGATATTGTAAAACTGTTTAACTTTTTAATCTGTTTATCTGCATGAATTCGATTAAGCCGGATGCCGAGAGCGCGCGCGCGCACGCCGTGAAAACGAATTCGAACAATTTCAAATCACAAAACACCGGCATTTCTAAATCAATCATGCGATATGTAAATATCGTTAAAAATTTAGTTTTGCAATCAATGGTAAAAACGCAAATAAAACACGAAATATTGTTATAGTTCGATTTCCAATGCATGATAAAATATAAAATATTTAAATTGCTTCTGTGATTGCAATTTACGATCACTCTTCGAACTAGATTTGCCGAGTGAATTTAGTTGACAAGGTCATGCAGAGACAGGGAATGGACAACGTTGGAACCCGTTAGCGTTATAACGACTTAAGTCACATGAACTCGAAACGATTTTACTGCGTAAACAATTAAACGCATAAAACGCACTTTAAAAATGAAGAAATATTGCTTGAAATAAAGAGATTCATGTAAGTAAAAAGTATTAATTTCTTGCAAGGATGGTATTTGACTCGGTGATTGCTAGATATTTATTATTATGATTATAGTATCGCGAGTAAATGCGCGAAGAATGTTTGTAGCTGGTTGGTGGCTATTAGAACGGAAAATTTAGATTTTTAGCATCGGCCACTGATGCATTTATTCATTTAGCATAACGTTATAGTATTAAATTAAAGAAAATTAACGAAAACTAGTAATTAATCAATATATTCAATGTGTTTATTAAAATTTAGAAAGAAATCATTTTTTCTGCATGAATTTTTTATATTTTATTTTATTTTAGTTTATTTGTTCGTAAAAACAGTAAATATAAATTTGTTTTCATGTTTCATGAGATATTTTGAAATAATTAGTTTTTTTTTTATGTGAATGTTTATTTTTTTCATTTATGGTTTTATTTAAAAGTGAAAATAATTACGGACAAGGTTAAACGTGCAGTCTTCATGCTCGATTCCTTAACATCTCCCATTAAAATAAAAATATTCACTCAACACTTAACTCAAATCGAGATAAATCGAGATGTTAGCGTTCATACTACATAATAAATTCTATTAATATTTAACCTTGTTATAAACTAATAATAATCTACCATCATTTTTTTTTTTTTTTTTAATTTTTTGTCTGATTAATTTTTTTATTCTGATTTTAAATCATAAATTTATTTAATTTTTGCTGTGTAAATTGAATGTTGAAAACATCGACACTTGAGGATCGGACGAGTTGGAGTTTTTCGCCCGGGAAAAGTTCGCCGGGACTGATAAAACTTCTTCGGCGGGGCCGAATCCAATTAAAAACTATTATGCGCGCCGCTCAAAACTTCGGCGTTCAAGAGGTCGAAGGCGAAGACGTCTTCACGCGCAGTATTGTGAATGACAAGCGGTAATTTGCACATTTTCTTCTCGATTACTCTCGATTTTTCAACTCGTGCCAGCGCAGATGTGCAATCGATGGGAGAATAATCTTGGGAAAACACGGCTAATAAAAATATTCATTAAATTTCTTTTCAAATATTTTTTTTTTGCTGACGAATAAATTTGTCACAAAAATTAAGAGACTCGTAATAATGATTTCTCCAAAATTTAATTTATAAAGTTTTATAAATTACATTTTTGTTGTGATAAAATTATTTAATAATTTTCTTCAACAGTTGTAAAATTTTGTTTTTTTCTTTTGGCATTTTATGATTTTTCTAAGATTTTTCTTGCTTCAAAACAATTTGCTTTATTTTGATCATTACTTTTATTATCCAAACGTAAATTGAATGTGTATATTAAAGCCATATGCATGAATGTGGCTTAGATGTGGGGCAATTATGCGAATTATGCGTCGCGCAATTGGCGATTCGTGCCTGCTTCGCGCTTTGTGCACCGCGCGCTAATTAATTCAGCGGTGCATGCCAGAAGGACAAGCACACGCGACGTGGCGAACGTTTTGCACACATAGTCTTAATCTTAATTAGCATTAATTGCATAAAAATATCATAAATGCACGCCGGCATGTTCTTTAAATGTCAATATTCAAGATTTAACATAGTTTTGCTATTTCCAAACATATTCCAAAGACCAAAACAGCAATGAAGGTTAAATTTAATCGAATGTTTAAAATATTGTTTATTTAATAAAGATGTGCTCTAGTTTTCATTATTTTCAAATGCATTTATAGAAATGTATGCATTCAGCCAGGAAGTGGAAGAAATCGGTAACAATTTGCATAGCCGCGTTTATTTAATTAATGTCGCGACGCGCTCGCCTCTGAGATTTTATCAATACAGCATCATTCAGCAACATTCAACATCCAACATCCGGAAATGTCACTTGCGCATATCACTTTCACCAATTTTAATGAAAGTTTACACAACTTTTTAAACAAGTTTTACACATCAATAAAATAATTCAATAATTTTTTTAAAATAAAAAATAATTTAAAAACTTCAAAAAATTATTTGGAAATCAAAAATTAAAATTATTTTTGCTCACCTATGAAACAGATAAAGAGTATGTTGGTAACCGTTGATGGCGGCGGCATCTTGTCGGCAATCACCGCGCACAATCACTGACCGCGAGCAACGTCGTGCCGCGTAAGCGAACGCACTTTGCGAGACTTCTTCTCGGGTATCAGCAAGTTCAGTTATAGTTGCGTTCGTGTCGTGTTTTTCTGCGTCTCTTGGTCGCACTTGGTGTTGTTATGCGTCGATGTTTGACTTAAGCACTGGACGCACGCGCTCGTCGGCGATGCGCCGAGTCGAATATGGTGCGCGCGGCCAGCGCCAGCGCTAAGTAAAGCATTGAGCGCGACTTTGAGATCCCTTCTCTTCGTATTCTTCGCGAGACCGCAAGAACGGCAACGACCAAGTGAAAGACAAATAATGCATTATTTTATTTTGTATGTGATTATTTGAAATCTTGTTATATCGCACACTCGTTAGTGGTCTTTAGTCGCTATTAGTTTGTGTAAACTCTAAAACGAAATTAGGAGTTTGAGTCCTACGAAATGCGGGAATACGAATGTACCTGCATAATATAACGCGCGCGCTTTACTGCCAGCGACTTTAGCGGGTATTATGAATGTACTGTAATTACTGTTGATTAATACCCAAGTTTATTAAACACACTCAGAGCTATTCAAATGTTTCATAATGACGACGAGATAGTAATGTGAATACGGACTAAATACTTAGCTAAAGACCTGCAATATGTTTCAAACTATTTAAATCATTAAATAAAACATTTTTCACTTTAAAAGAACATCACCTCGATTTTAATTATAAAATGTTTCGATGGTAAAATTTAATTAAAAGTTTTTAGTTTCCAAGTAAAAAATAATACATTTTAGCAAGTTTGAAATGTAATATTTGTCCATTATTAATATAATACATTTTTTATTAAAAAAAGTTATAATTTTTAGTGAAATTAGAAATTCGGATAAATATTAAATTACGTTGAGTTGTGACAATGATCTTGTCGAACCAGTTTACATAATCGCCGTATTTTCATGTCCATGCACTCAAAAATCGAACGGAACTTTCTAATATTCAACCAGCGCCAATCTAATGCTACAAATGTTGTCGCTATCCGAAAAAAAAACGATAATATTCCAAATATAAATTTTTGACTTTTGTACTTTTGAATATCACTCTCCATAATCCTTATACAGCGATGGTTTAAGTATGCAAAAATCGTGTAACATAAATTACGGCATGTTGCGCGCTCCTTCGCGGGATTAATAAATTGATCAGAACGTAATAAAGTAAACGATCATTTTTGCGGATGTTACGGCTGTGTTATGGGTGAATTTACAAGCGTGTGTGATGAAAGTGACACGAGCAAATTGGCCGACCATCCGAAAATATATACGGACATATATAGCAGATTTGGCATGAAAGTTACGATGAAAGCAACAGTTGCAAAGACAAGAAAGTTCGCGCAACGAAATCGAATTGCGTCGAACCTCAACCTACCGAAATCCGGCGAATTTGTACAAATTGAGACAAATCACCTCTTACTTTATTTTAGATATTGCTGACTAGGTGAACTTTATACTTGCTCATCAATAAATGTCATGTTAAATTAATTATTGAGTCATTTTTTTAGTGAAATACATTAATTTTTTTATTGATAACATTGAAATTCATGTAATTCTGATTTATTGAAGTGTATAAGAATTGAACGAGTTGCGTTGATAACTTAACCTTAGTAAGAAAATTCAGATATTTTCTGACGTTTTAATGGTTATTTTTATTCTGGGTAACAAATCTATGATATAAAAATGAATCGCAAAATCTGTTGGTAAGCGCATAACTCAACAATGCCTGGACCAATTTGGCCAATTCTTTTTTAAAATGTTCGTTAAAGTCCAAGGATGGCTTTTACAGCGAGAAAAATTTGAATAATTGTCGGGAAAACCCTAAAGACAGCCCTTTTCTATAGGATAAAAGTTGGCATTGAGACTCAATCATAGTTATAGTTAAATAGTTGAATCCGAGATGGCGCGCTGAAGCGCATTATTAGCAATTCTTTATATAATTAATTTGTTTACAATAAAATTGCGAATCTTATTGATAGAATTCACACATACTATGTCTAGAGCAAGAGAGTAAAAAACGAATTACATTTTTATTAAACACTACCGGGACGAAGTCTGCGACAAAAGCTAGTCAAACATAAAAATAAAAATCGGTGCATCTGTGTTTGATTTTTATTGATATTGATAACTTTATTGTATTTGTCAGGCAACCAAATATACACCGAAACAATTTTCATGCATCTCAATGCTTATTTCATTCAAACATTAATTATTTTAACCATTTTAGTCGTATTTTGAATGTCATGAGCAAACCCGAGCAATCAGAGTGGCATTTCGTTTGAACATGCGAAAACAAAGTCACAAAGCGAGCGCAACATCGCTGTTTCGCTGTTTGTACCCCGTACTTTACAGAATATTATGAAATTTATTAGCATAGTTTGCTCGTTAAACTCAAACGGGAGCGCTCTGGAAGGTACGGCCGCGTTTGCGATCGAAATTGGAGAAGATGGTAGCTCGGTAACTTTATCGTACGGGTTAGTTTCTCGTTGCGCTGGTAGCAAAACGCTTCAAAGAAACGCACGCGTTTAGCCGTCTTCTGCGATCCGGCGAGGAATTACAGCATTACGCACGCGAATTCATTAAATTGTTCCACTGTTTTCTGGCGGATAATTTAATTAATGGCCGAACAAATATGAAGCATGACGACCATTAACAAATAAATAATTAATGATGGATTTTGTAATGAATGCCTGAAACTGGATATTTTTATATCCACGCGGTTTATATGCGTAACTGTGATTTTTGATTAAGTTTTTGTGTTTTCGGACGATTTTAGATCAAATAATCCAGCTCGGAATAGATCTTATGAAGTTCACTCGAATGTGCGGTTTATTTCCGCTCATTAATCACACGAATCGTGATTAAATCATTGATTAAATTTATCTATTCAGTAATTTATTGCTCGTTCATGTTTGAAAATATTTCGGGTTACGAAATTAAGAAATATGCAACCAAATATACATAGGAAACATGATTTTAGTAATTTTAGAATAAAAATAATGAAATAAGTTAAATGTTTTAGTGAAAAACAAAACGGATAGTTTTAAGCTCCTTGTTGAGTTTTGTTTGTATAGTTTGTGAGTTACGATGATGATATGGGTTCGGATGCGCGAATTATTATTATCTCAATTAAAAGTCGGCGTGACGAACGTGATTTCGCAACAATGACGCTAGTTACTGCGCGTTTGCTGCGCAGGTTCACCTACTTAAAGATGTGAGTGAGAGTTGTTCAGAAAAAAGCATCAGCAGCGCTTCCACCACGCTCAAGACATTGCAACATCTTGGTTTGTTTCTGTTGTTGTTTTTTTATTCATTTTTTAAAAAAACTTATCTACCTTTCGAGTTTCAAATGTTCTTCTGCTGGCGACACCATCTTGATACTCTTTTGATATCGATGCGTACATTTTGCTCCATTTGCATTCGCGACGCAAAAGTTTTCTTATGATTCTTCATTTCTGGGCGCAGTTTTTTAATGGTTTTAATGCTTTCGAAGATGTAACACAAAACGCGAACATTATAAATTGCGCTGAGAATATAAAGAAATAAAAAACGCAGCCGGCGAGCTATAAAATGTAGAATGTGATGGTTGAAAAAGTGTAGAAAAGTGTGTGGATGCGTCATTAGCGTTGCGCAACTGCGCCGCGATATTTCACTTTTATCTGCGCGCGCCGTTCGTTAATTTACGCGTGCGATATTATTGCACGAAGTTCGCGCGATGCGACCGAGATCGCGTCCTCGGTATGGTTAATAATTTGATCTTGTAATCAATTGCACACGTTCACGCACGATGAATTACCCCCCACAAAGCACATTTATGTATTACATAAATAAACACGAAGATTAATACATTTTGATTTTGTTGATTTTTAATTTAAAAATTATCGGGATATATGCAACCCAATGTACATTTAACATTTAAAATGTTTAATATAAATAAATTATGATTATAATAACCAGGTGTTCGTTGCAGTCACGATTTTATTCCAATTATATAAATGTCAAGTACGGTTATGTTTAATTTCTGCGCGCAACAATCGATGGCAAATTGTTTACAACATATTTTTATGTAATGAAGACATTTGTTTCACTGTTTATTTTGCACGATTTATGTTGCTTTAAGAAGTTAATTTGCAAACAGATAAAAATTTTATTATTATGCATTGTTAATTGTTTCAATTTCAATTGAATCAATAATCACGATTATTAGTTAATATTTAACATTTAAAAGAAATCACTATTAAACAAAAATTATTTCAAACTAGCTTTTTGACTTAGTATGTGTGAATTCTATCAATAAGATTCGCAATTTTGTTTTAAAGAAATTAATTATATAAAGAATTGCTAATAATGCACATCAGCGCGCCATCTCGGATTCAACTATTTAACTAGAACTATGATTGTATCTCAATGTCAACTTTTATCCTATAGAAAATTGATGTTTTTAGGGTTTTTCCGGCAATTATTCGAATTTTTCCCGCCGTAAAAACCATCCTTGGACTTTAACAAACATTTAAAAATCAAGCATTTGCCAAATTGGTCTATGCGTTGTTGAGTTATGCGCTTACCAACTGATTTTGCGATTCATTTTATATTTTTGAAGATGTAAAATAATAATTGCTGAATTAATGAAGATATATAAAAGGGTGCCTGGTGGAGTTTTAATTGTATGTATGTATTTATACTCTGATACTTAAAGCAATTATGAACGAAATTTAGAAACGAAAGGGAGAACGAAAAGCGAAAGCCCAGAATGCATTGGCTGCTAACGAAGAATATGAAGGACTATACAGGACGAATGAATGACCCTCCTTTTCATTGGTAATTAATTTTCAGTCCTTCGTGTCGAATATCAGCTCAATTATTAAATGAGCCAACTTTTGACTTTTGTACCTTCTTTATATAATTCAATATTTTATTCGCACATGCGCATTTAATCTGTGCCTTTTTCACTAATGAACTTGTTAACATAGTCAACTTTTTAATAATTATCACATTAACGTTGCTATGTCAGTCTTTGTTCGTCTGCGCTGGCTGCAAAAAGGGATGAATATTAATTTCTGTTCTTAATAAATTCCTCTCGGCGTCACGTAGATGCTGTGGACGGTAGAGAATGATAGATTATGCATCCGCGACACATTCTCGTCGCATCATTAATATAAAA